TCGTTAGTCAGCGTGCGGGAGAAGCGCTGTCTGCTTTATCCCTGCCTTCCTCATCTCTAACGTGCGACGTCCCGTGCCGTTCATCACAGAGAACTCGTAGCGGTAGCACCTTATCCGATGGGCCGTCCGTGGGGCTCTGAGAGCCGCCTCGGTGCCGCCTCCTTTGTGCACAGCTGTATGAGAGAAGCACCGACAGAAGCGCGTCTGCTCTGTGAAGTGCCCGTTTCCTCAAGTATTTTCTCGGCTGTGTTGATTTATTTCCCACTAAAGAAAAAGTGCGCTCTCTCCTAGTGCTAGCTCCAAACATATATTGCTATGGGAACTGCCAACTGATTCTTAGCTCAGCTTCTCCCCAGCTGAAAGCACCAACTGAATGAATAGTTGCTTGAAATGCCTGAGGATGAAAGCAGTGCTTGCAGCAAGCAGAGTGCTCTGCAATTGGGTTGTTCCTATGCTGCTCTCTGCTGCAGCTCTGTGAGCAGAAAACTTGTCTGTATGCTACCAGGGATCCTATGGTACCTGAAATGCTGTGAATGCATTTGTTAGTGACTTGATAAAGAAAATCTTGTTTTGAAGTTGAATTAAATACACTGCCCAGTGGTATTGCTTATATCTTTGCAATTTCAGTGCTGTCAGCTACTTATTCATTCATGAAATATTTGCATGTTGACATGGCAAACAGTCACTTTGTTCCAGGAGTGATGTGCTTGCTATGTGCAGCAGGTGATGCTGAAAGAGCTTGAAGGTTTCACATGAAGTAAAAATAGAGAAGTTGTATTTAAAATTATAGCTGCTTTCCATGCTGATGGGAACTCTTAACCGTGCGAGACTTTTCCTCAAGGGAATGAGACAGTTGGACTGCTGCTCCTGAATTCTGTCAATGTCCTCAGTTGCTTTTATGCCCTTTTTCTGAAATACTATTTGTGATCCATTTTAACAGTTGCATAGATGGGAAAGGATGCAGAAGCTTTAACAAAATAAAGAACAGTCAATTTTATTTATGCAGTATTGATTTGTTTTCATATAAAAATTCTTTTGGTCACAAAGGTAGCTTTCATTCTCCGCATAGTCTGTTGAAATGTAAATTTCCCAATTAAGAGGAGTTCCAGTATCCCTACTCGATTTGTAATGCTTTGCTGCGAATGTTGGCTATGCAGTCATGTCAGAAAAGCTGTGAGCAGCAGCTCTTGTAATCACAGTCTTATTTGTGTAATCTTCTGTCAACCTTACTGTAATAACAAAATCTTGTTTATTAAGGAAAGCCTATGAAAAGTGCCTTTTGCCCCTCTTAAAGAAAGAAAGGCTTTAGTGTAGTAGGGGAAAGCTGTACTGTTGTCATTAAACTTGAACTAAAAGGAATTCATTCCTTTTTCATGTTTTTGCTGATGCTGTATAAGGAAGGGGAGGAAAAAAAAAAAAAAAAAAACCAACAAAAACAAAACCGAATTGAACTTCCCAGCTGAAAGAACTGGGATAGCTGGGATGGGCTTTGCTTAGCTGTCTGCCACTTCTCTGCTTGTTTTCCTTCAGATGTTTGAGTAAAGGTGGTGTTAACCTTAAGAAACAGAGATGAAAGTATTTTTAATCTTAGTACTGTTTGCTTGTAGTGTGTCATATCTATAATGTATCATTTTGTCTGTCCAGTTGTCAATAGAGTCATGTTGGAAATATTACTCGATTTGAAAACTGGTAGAAAGCAAAAAAATGAAGACATAATGAGCAATTCAGGCTTTCTTATTTAGTTGCCAATAACAAAGAGCTGTAACTTGAACTAAGTAAAAGCAAAGGGACACTTAAAATCTTGATTTAAAATGGAGACTAGATTAAGAACAGATTCAGCCGTGAGATTGTGAGGTACAATCACTAGAGAACATTGCCAGCCAATTGCTGTTGCCACCGACTGCCACGGTGCTGCAGTCAGTTCTGCTCTTCACCCCCACTTAGCAGAGGAAATGACCCTGAAGAGGCATAGGAGGCAGCTGAAGGCTCTGCGCCTGGTGATCCAATGTAGTTTCTGGTTAGTGTATTGGCACTTCATAGGCATACACTGGATGCTCTTAGTGTCAGTCAGAGTTCTCTTGTGGTGAATGGAGCAGTAATTTGTTCCTGTATAAACAAGACCTAATGCTGCCTGTTTTTAGCCTTGTGTTGAACAGAGCGCAGCTACATCCATATTCAGGCCCAGCACACCTTCTTGAATGTGAGTCAGTGAAATAAATCTGACACGCTGTCAGATCGTGGGTCCTGATGAAACTGCTGAAGTTTGAATTAACTATATGTGACCCAACAGGACAAATTAGTTACACAACTCCTAACTTTTCCTGTGCTCTTACAGCTAATAGAAAAGATGGCAGTTCCCGCCTCGTTTCTTCATCAGGGTGGAGGAATCAGTTGTTGATGTGTGACACTGGAAAACTGTTAGTAGTTGAAATTGTCAAGTATATGGTTAGGGATTGGAATAGGAGGTAAGTATTTCTTCAGCCAGACCAAAACTGGAGTTGTATGCTTTTTTTCCCCTTCGTTAGAAAGGACCAGTATACCTCATTGGTTTGTCTTATGCACTATCCCCTTTTAACTACAGTCTGCTGCTGAATGCAAATGTGGGTCAAAATAGACTTATTTTTAGAGTGCAATATGTTTTGAAGCATGATATTAAGCTAAGAAGAAACAAGCAATTTCCAAACATATGAGTTAGTTCGTCCAGAAAAACCTTCAGGCAAAAGAGTGTTAAAAAGCACTTTTCTGGTTCTTTACTCTTTTAATTATTCCCTTCTAAGTGACCATTAACCGGTTGTTCAGTAAGAGTGAGCAGTAGTAGTGGTGCCAATGATGTCTCGTGGTGTATTTTGACCATCTGCTTGTCAACAACAGCAGCCAAGTGCAGAGGGGCTAGAGGTGCTTCAGTGAGAAGCGTCAGCCCAACCATTTGGACTGAGTGTAAAGGATCTACCAGAAGACAAATTGTTTTAAGTCTTTTCCTAATATTTATGCCCAAGAAATGATGGGAAGCTTTCTTAAGCAGGCTTGTGTGGGAATGTTTCTTCACTCAAATAAAATTCTGCTGCGTGAGATAAATCCTTCAATTTTTAGTTGTTCCCACAGCACTGAAACCCCACATTCATTTCAGAAGAACACTTAAGTGACTCCCAGCTATCTCAGTGAACTAAAATCTTCCAGTATCCTTTCCTCCGTAATACGTTTATCTCTGTATAATACCAAGCAGTGTAAGACTGCCTCCAATTTTTGGAGAGCCTGTGTTTCTCACTTATTGAACAAACAACTGGAAACAATTAACCAACTCTTGAACTCAGTGAAATTTGACATAAGTTAAAGGATAATCTGGCAGCTATAACTTCTCTACAGAAACACTTCAGTGCGCTATTTACTGTATTAAAAGTGCTTGCAAATAGTAGTGGAATTAGGGTGGATGGGGACTGTATCTCATCTGCCTCTTTGAAAATTGTAACTCCTGCAGTATTCTTTCCAGAAAATTATAACTCATCAGGTTCTTTGGGAAATGTTGTTTATGCGGATTCTGTTTTTGCATAGTAAATTATTTGAAAAGTTGGGTACTTCTAAAACATTTTTTTCACCTGTTTTTCTGGAAGCAATAGAAATTACGAAAGTTGGTGCATAGCTTGCATTCTGGCAATTGGAAACAAAGATATAATTTATTTTAAGAATTATTTACCATGCATGAATGAAATACTCTGCATAAAGTGGTTTTTGCCAGCTTGGTTGATTCTTTTCACTCTTTCTACCATGACTTGTCCTAACTTGAATAAAATCATACTGGAACAAACTTGCCTCTTTTTTTCTTTAGGTAGGGAATGTTTGTTTCTTCCCTTGGATAGTTGTTTATTCAGAAAATCCACACAACAGTAACATTTCCTTGAAAGAAGCTTTTCTACAGACGTTTCAGAATTGCCACAACATTTGATGTAGGTATTTCTAGCTACTGTGGTTGAAGTTGAATCACTGGGACACAAGTCCAAACCATTCCTGTCTGTTAATTCACTTAAAATCACGTTGGTCAACAAATGCTTCCCTAAGACAGTTTCAAAGGCAGGAATCTCATACCAGAGTTCTGCAACTCAAGAAAAATACTGCAGTGCTATAAAACCTCACTGCTGAGGCTGTGCAAGCATCCCGCTGAGCAGAGATTACATCCAACACATTAAAAATGTTCCAACAATTATTCTCTATCCCTTCCCTTATTCACCATGCGTGTCTTGATAGGTTTACTGACACTGCTACACAGTGAGTTGCCTGCAGGGCTGCCATGGGTCTTGTTTTTCATGCCTGTGAATAATTAAAGCCTTGAAAACGGAGTCGTTTTTTGTTTTTGTATCTCTCTACTGTGTACTGACTGCTTTCAGGGGCCAAAACACGTAGCTGGTTTGGCTGTGCCTCACATCCCTGCCCTTTCTCTCTCACTTACCTGATGTCCTAAGCTAAGAAGCCATCTTCATTTCTTGTGCTTCTTTAAATGACGATGGGATGTATTCTGCTGCTAACGGTTTGATGGTGAAAGTCAGTTTTTAATTGGAGTTTCTTTCTCCAGATAAGTTTTTGATTATAAGCAATGCTTTGGAGTTCAGCCCGGGACTGCGGTTCCATCGAGAGTCTCTTTTACGGGGATGTTGCTGAGGCCTTGCTAACAGACAACCAAACAGTCTATTTCCATTACGTTTTCAGTGCTGACCCACTGAAGGATGCTGAAGTCCACCGAGACTCAGATGTGGGTGCAGAGGGAGTAACGGGGGAGACTGGGCGCTTCCAAGACTCTCTTACTCCGTGTAGCCCGAGCACGGAGGAGAGCGGCCCTCCCAGCCCGAGGTCGCACTAACGCTTCCCGACCGTTGGCGGGGCCCTCACAGGCGGGGCCGCGACCGTTAACTCTCGCGCGCGGCACTGCCACGCGCTTCCCGCGTCTCCATGGCGCCGGGAGGAATCGCCAATCAGAAGGCGCGGCGCCGGTCACGTGCGGGCGGGCAGTCATGGCGTCCGAGGGGGACGGCGCGAGCGGAGCAGCCGCAGGCATGGAGCCGCTGCAGGGTAGCAGAGCGGGGTGCGCGGACACCGGCAGCGAGAGCGGCTCGGATAGCACCTCGCTGTCGGGCAGCTCCGAGTAAGGGCGGGGCGGGGTGCAGCCCGCAGGGCGGGGGCGGATGGGGTGAGCGTTGGCGAGCATCATTTTGGGCAGGAGTGCATAAATGCGAAGTGCGTGACGTTTGTCCTGCTTGCAGCACCCTTACACGCACCTAAGTCCCTGCGATTCCAGGCAGGGAGTGGTATCTCTATGGGCGTTTTGTTTTTTGTTGTTTTGCTTTTTTCCACTCAGACCTTTTCTCTGAGTCCTAAAGGTGCTCTGGTGGGGTGTTTTTATTATGTTCTTTCTCAGCTGTGCTCTCTAATTAATGCACTATTCAAGTTGTGTGCTGATGTTAGTTTTAAACGAAACTTTCTTCCTCAATGTAGTCAAATTATCTTGTTCTAGATTTATGAATGTGTGCTAGCTTTACTCAATTATTGATATGATTACGTATGTCTTCATTGTGCGTTTCCTTGTTTGATTGCTATTGGGGCCGTCTCAGGTTGGCAGGAGCAGACATCTGGCTGCCCTCAGGCATTCCTGAGCTGCTCTTGGCTGTTCATGAGCATCTTCCGTGTAGAATATCTTAGAATTTCTTCACAAAGTTGCTAATACTGACTTCTATGTGCGTGGAATCAGAAGCCTTCTAATGTTCACCTGAAATGTTTTGATAAATTAAATCACTGATGACTTTCCCTGCTGTAATGGTTGCTGATCCTTGTGCTTCTGTGATAGCACTCAGAGGTTCTGGTGCTGTGGCGTGGACAATTTGCCCTGTTGCCTTCTCAGCTATTTTCTTTTTTTCCCCAGCCAAAAGAGTGTGATTTCCTTCAGTCTCTTTCCATTTAAGAGATGTTTATAAATTACTTTGTATTTGTCTCTGGGCCTGTTCCAGTTATTATGTCTTTTTTAGACTATATGATCCAAAGCTGGACGTGGTTGACACATCACTATTGCCAAACTAGAATAAAAACTTCTTATGTCTTGCAGACAGCACTCCTGTTAATCCATCCTGCAGCTGCATTGCCTTTCCTATGCAGCATCTCGATGCTAGCGATCTACTCCAGCTGCTAGAACTCTTTCTGTAGCAGTGCTGCCTCTGTACTTTATTGTTTTGTATTTTTTGCACACAAATCTGAATGTGTTATTTTGACACGTCTTAAAAAGTGTTATGTGGATTTCATTTTGTTCTTTCTTTTTGTTATTTTAAGATGATTTAAGAATGCTAGTCTTGTCTTTCAGCGAGGTTGCAGTACAGTCCAACCTTTAAATGCATAAAGGAAAAATTATGGCAGAGAACAAATAGGATGCCATTTTTTCTCTAAGCCCCATCATGCCCATGAATGTAATTACTAATTAAAACTTGGATATGAAAGAAACTTTTTTTTTTTGCTTGCTTCCACAGAAGTCAGTAACAATAACAGTACTTTTTGCAATGATTGGAAGGCATTTGGAGAATCTGTTTTAGTGTTTGAAAGGGATGTATTTCCTTCCCAAAGCTGTCCTGGAAGAGTTCCCATTCCCACAGCAAACTTAAAGCATTAAACTTTTAATATTCAGGAGATCATATACTTTCTTGCCTTGTACTCTCCATATACCTTCCCTTGAAGTAAGTAGATAAGTAAGTAGAAAGACGTGCAGAGCAGTCTTTCTTATCAGAGCTATCACTGATTGTTCTTCTTTGTTTCCCAGTGATCTTGAGCCTGAATGGTTGGATCGTGTGCAGAAAAATGGGGAGTTATTTTATTTAGAAATGAGCGAAAGTGAGGAAGAAACTTTACTTCAGAATGCCTGTCCAGAAATACCGTCGGTGAATCATGTCAGATTTCGTGAAAATGAAGCGGAAGTTATTCAAGAGGGAGCACGGAAAGAAAGAAAGTATGAACTGAAGAAACTGACAAAAATATTAAAGAAGAAGAATCTTTTACCAAAGCATTCTAGTAAGAAAGGAAGTGGAAGCTGTAATGTGCGCTCCAGCGGTCCAACTTCCATACTGAAACATAACTCCACTCAGAAAATGGGTGAAATACAGCAGAAGTACAAAGACATATATGTTTATGTAAATCCCAGAAAACTGTTGGAGAATGCTGCAGAAGATGAGCAGCACAGGCTGCTAGAGGCCTTGGTAGGAATTGTCCATCAATCTTCATGGAGCAGCAGAAGAGCAGAAAAACAAGGCAAGAAGGATAAGGTTACCAGAGGAGTCAGTGAAGAGAAGCTTGTAGTACACGGCTTGGTGCCAGGCAGTTCAGCAATGAAAACAGGCCAAATCTTGATTGGTAAGTTAATCATGTGAACATGCTCTTCTTTTAAAATGAATATTTTTATTGTATTTTGTTTTTTGAGAGGCAGCTGCCTTGAGTACTCCCAAGATGTAAGTGATGCTTACAAGTACTGTTTTGTAAATTCCTGAGGTACTATTTTAAGTAAATGTCACTGCATTTGGTGTTTTGTCACCTATTCTGTGTTATTATATTAATGGTTTTAAGAATATGTTACATAAACCAGAAGGCATTAAGGAGATGATTGTCTCTTTAGCCTACAAGGAGCAAGCATCTTCAATTTAGGAAAAAGAAGTACTGCTTTACATCTTTAATTTAATGCAGCATTTACTCTGTAGATAACTGCGCCTGTGGAAAAACTTGAGTGTGCCAAATACTGTGTTTTGCTTTTATTCTTTTCTACTACTCTTCTTAGAATACGCTTTATATGGATTTTGAGACACACACAAAAAAAGAGAAAAAGCGTGGAGTAAATGCGTATTTTTTAGATTTTGTCTGTGCACAGTCTTGTTTAGTTGTTCTTCTGTCTAGCAGTGAGAAGAGCTTCTTCAGCAATTGTGATCAGCAGGCCTCTCAGCTGCAGAATGAGAAGGCAGTGAGTTAGCAGAGCAGCTCTTTTGTGTTGGTTTGGCTCTTGCCAGATGTAAGGCGATGCAGCTAAGTAACCTGGCAGGAAATAAACCCAGAAGAAAAACTGTTCATCTAGTTTTTGCTGGTGTGCTGAGTTAAACTGGATTGCAGAAAGCCTGACAGGCACCAGAGCTTGAGCAACATACAGGAATGAATTTTCCTGGCCAGTAGTGAAGGAGCAGATGCATGTGCTCCCATTTCCAGCATCAAGAAGCCGCTGAAATAAGTGACTTAGTACTCATGAACTCCCAACCTCAGAGACTGTAAATGTGAGACAGCTAACTTGTGTCTGCAAGGGGTGGAAGGTGGTTAATTGCCCTTGAAGTTGCTCTCTACTAAGAGCAAGCAAAGATGTGATTTTGGTTAAAAGATCATGAAAATTTTAATACTTTAGTAGCACAAATTGCACAGACTCAGCATGAGTGCTTTTGGAATTCCAATGTTGTGTGTGTTAAAGATGCAAATCATGCTCTGACTAGCTCATTCTTCTTAGAATAGATTTTCAGTACGTTCTAAAGAATACTCGAGGGAGAATTGGGTAGCTTTCAAATGTTACCAGAAAGAACTGATTAGTCAAGAAGTAAGGGATGAAGAAGGAGGGGGAGGAGGAAGAGAGTTTCATCTTGACCTACTGTGCTTAATGGTATTTAATCTGATTAGTGTCAAGCTGGGCATTTATAACCTGTAAGTTAATTTTGGGACACATGTTTGTTGTGTAACCACCTATTTGTAAGTGCAGCTGTGAAGTCAGAACAACATAGACACATACCAAATCGAGGAGAAAGTGCCAGTGGTACATCATCTGCAGCATTCAGTGTTTTCTTGAGCGAATGAGCACAATTTTGTTTTTTGTTTTGTCTTCTCTTAAGTACAAGTTTACATTTAAGTTAATCTAAAAAGTCCAGCAACTTCACGTGTCATAGGGCTGACAACCAATAGTGCTTTGGTTTGGGATGTTGGAATGAAGTATTTTCAAGCATATGACAGTTATCCAGCTTTCAGTTGGGAAAATGAGCTGTATTCTGTGCCAACAGTATAAAATATATAATTTGCAAGTATTTTTATATGAAAATTACACATCTACAGTGAACACGGAGTACTCTCAAATTTTTATGTGGTGTCTAGAAACAGAGCTTTGCATAAATTAGGTGTTTAGATTTCAGTGCTGTCAGCATAAAGATATACAGTAAAAATAATTTTGATTCTCTCAGAAAAACTGCTTGGCTTACTGTCTCTGTATTGGACTTTGGACGATGAGTGTTACATTATATACCCAAAGCCTGACTTAGAAACAGTAGTTTCTGTGTAGTTCAGTGGAGGGCCTTACAGGAGCTGAAGTTGCACAGAAATTTGAGGAAAAAAAGTCAATAGAACTTTGCTTCTAAGTTCTAGGAATTCTATTCAGAATTGTGGACAAACACAGTAAAATGTATTTCTGTGGTCAGTCTAAAACCTGATCAATATGGCATGATGCTGACTGACTGGAACTTTGTTCATCTTCTTTGACCTTCATATGCATAGGTGTTAATCTGTTCCTGATTATTTTTTTAAAAAATTAATATTTTAATGACCTGCAATGGGTGATACAGACCATTTCTGTATCAGTATTTTTGTTTCTTTGCTCTTTGTTTTTAAGTGAATGCCAAGTATATTTTCCCTCTTAAAAGCCATGCTTTAAAGCAGTGGGTTTCCTGGTGACCAGCTTGCAGTGGCTGTTGCAGGCATTTCTGTCTCAGCATATTGTTCCTGAATTTGATCTGTTGTCAATCAGCGTAAAACTTGAAGTCATTCCAGTATTGAGAAGACAGAAACAGAGCAGAAAACTAATAACAATTTAGCAAGTGCACTTTGCCTACCTTCTTTGTGCTCAAACACCTCTCCTCTCCCTCTTCCTCATCTCAGCCCCCCTGTTCCTGCCATGTGGTAACTGCACATCTCCATCTCTTCAGGAAGGTAATGAATGGGGCAGGAGGCTGGGATCGTACGGGCGATGCCTTCCTTCTGCCACCCCTTGCTTCTTGTTTTCCTTTGCTGCATCATAACTCTTCCACAGGCCTTAAGCTTTCAAGGAATGAGCACCTCTGTGGGCCCCAGCCTTTCCTGTAGTGGCTGCTGCACTCTTAAATAGTTGGCCAGAAGTGCCACTGGCTGCCCTAGCTGGGCCAGGTGTGCTGTGAGTTGCTCCGCTGAGTGGCAGGAGGTGGTTCATGGCTTTCCACACAGCTCACTGCTGCAGCACCCAGCTCCCCACATCGTGGCAGGGCTGCCCAGTAGCACAGTCTGCCTCTCTGGTCTTAAAATTTGAGCACTCTAGATTTTTATGGTTTTTTCCACCTCACGATTTGTGTTTGTGATATGGTAAATAATAACGGAGTTACTGGTTACTTTGTATTTTCCTTAGCAACTTAGTTATTTGTCAGCAGTAAGTATGGTTGCCACTGAAGTGGCTGCTAAGGCTGAGTCATGAGGGAGGCTGATTTTCTACTTTGAATGACCAGTTAAAAAGCTGTTATTACTTTAGTATTTTCAGTAAAAATAACTGCTTTTTCCCCAGTAAATAATCACTTTCCTCTGATGACTTCTTCAATTGATTCTGATACATGTATCCCTTACAGCACCAAACATGAAAAAATAAAACATCTGTTTATTATTTGTGGAGTGTACTTTACTTTTTTTAATGTGGGTATGGAAGTCATAATTCTTGTTGCTATATTTTATCAACCAAGCAGAATGCAGCCACTGACCGTATGACATAAACATAAGTTTTGTAAGCTAAGAAACTGCTGCTTTACCTCTGTAAAAAGATGGGACTCTGTTGTTTTTCAGTTCTTTTTAATGTTGCTGGGGTTTTTTTTGCATTTAAAAATCCATCAGTCTTAAGTTGTCAAATAAAAAAATCCTCACTGCTTTTAAAATTCTTGCTGTCACTTCCATTTGGGTTAAGAGATACAGTTGTCTTTATCTCATGTACCTTAAGGGTTTTTTTGGTTGTTGGTTTTTTTTGTTTGTTTTTTTTTTTTTTTTTAATAATTTCTCTTATATGAGTTTATTAATAAAAACATGCAAAGCCCGCTCTGCTATGTAAAACTTTATAGTTAAATGTTTCAATGCATCTTCAAAGACAGAAAGCTCCACCAAATACTCACTGTTAGATCCAGGGAAATAAGGGTTATAATAGGAAATGCCAGTATAATTTGATTTCCTTTCCCCTCCAAACTGAAACTTATCCAATTCACAGCAGGGGATACTTTCTGTAAATGCTGCTGATGACCATCTTTACTGTGGTATAAATGGAAAAGTAATTCCAGTGACACTGAAAATGCAGAAAAGCTCTTTCACCTTACCCTCTTTGAAATCATTTTTCATAATTATTGCACTTATCACTGAGCATCTGAATGCTATGCATGAATTCTCTCATCTGATCAGTGGGTTCAGCTGTCAAAAAGCTGTAAGAACTACCTAGGGAGAGGGATTATTTCTGAAAGTTAGTAAACATGGACTGTAATAATCCAATTCTGAGCAACTGTGTAGAAGGTACAGGCTACTGTTGCAGGCATCAGTTGAAAAGTGCAGATCCAAACCTTCTTATTGGCAAAAGGTTTTCTGTGGGCTTTTATTAATTCTCTTGGTGTTATGTGGGAGGGTTATTGATTTCCTCTGAATGAAGAAATGTTCAAGTAGTAATCTTTTCTCCTTTCATTTGAATAGTAAAAACACAGATAATCATTGTTGGAGGTCCAAAGCTCAAGTCCTGTGCACAATATTGTTATTCAGCAATTGATCACAGATTGGTAAGACAGGCAGTTGTTGCTGGAAAGCAGAGTGCAGCATGAACTGGTTGTTTAAAACAATAATCCATTTACGTAAGCAGCTTGCAGTCATCTTCTGACAGTTAAGGTAAATAATATTGGTGGTTGTTGTTGCTTTTTGTAATTTGCTACGAGCTAAGAGTCCTGTCAGAAAAATGTTCTTGAAAGGACCACAATGCTGTAAGAGTTTGAGATTTTCCATGGGAAATTGCCATATATGGTGTATTGTTGAAAAGTCTCTCCAATGTAGAGATGTTAAGCATACAAGATAGAAATACAGAGCTTGCGTAAGCCTTGCTGTGCTCTCACTGTGGAGTTGGGGATGTCGTTTATGTTCTTTTAATCTCCTCTTGAGGCGTAACAGCATTGGTTTGGGTCGAAGCAGCTTGCTAACACATAAAACAAGTAATTGATCTGGCTTTCTTCAGTAAAATATGTTCCACGCTTTGCCTTTTTTGGAAGGGAGTGTGTGAGTATTTATAAGGACTTTTACTGAGCCATTACTAAGAACAGAGGAAATTGCATGAAATTAAAAAAGTCTCATTCCTCTCCCATGTGAACGGCATGGCTCTGATTTTTAATTCCGATTAAAATGTTCATTTGCCATCACAGCATGGAACTGGCATTCACTCATCAGCCAGTACCCTCTGGCCTAATGCAGAGTTCTGCTTCTAGAAGTGGGGTGTGCAGGTTTAGTTGTGTGGAACCAATATTTAACAAAGGTAATAAACCTGTGCCTCATGGGACAAAGTGACAATCCGCCCTGAGAGAAATATCTTAGTGATGCCAGCAGTCCCGAGACTTTACTCAACTTCATCTTCTTTAAATGGGGAAAAAAACTATCAATCACTTTCATGCCATATGTTTGAGATCAATACACGTTCTTAGGTAACAGTGGGTGGAAGTGTTTTCTACTGAGATAAAACTGAAAAGGCTGAATGAAGAAAACAGGAACAAATTCTTGACTGTCTTTTGTGTCAGTTACATCACTTTAGTTCTTGGTTCTCTTTGGCACTGTGTGGAGAATGTATATGGACATCTAATAGTTTGTGGCCTAGGAGCAAGTTTTTGCAGTAAATGATAGAACTCAAAACTTGATTATTCATTCTTATTGAACGCACGTGAATAGCTTACTGTGTTCCTTTAAGAGAAGGATATGTTTTTCTATATTTTTATTGACTCTAAGTTTGATATCCTGGATCTGTCAGAAGAAAAAAAAAATTTTGTCAAGTGCAGTTGCTCAAAATCTCTCTAAAAATGGAAATGAGACCTTGTCCTAATGTTCTTCATCTCGTGTCTTTCAAGCCAGACAAAAACGAGCTGAGGGACTTATAGAATGCAAGCCAATAAGAGCAGGTCAAGTGCTATTCTACATAGTATATTATTATGCAGTATAATTTGAATTTGCAACTGTATTAATGAAAAAACTGAAAAAAGTTTTATGTTTCTCTATAACAAGTTTGAAAAGAATATTTCATAGAAACATGTGCTCTTGTAATGTCTACTTCAGCAAAACCAGAAACATTCAGTTTAGTCTGTGTACTTAAGAAAAGCCAATTGTGCTTTTTAGGGTTTTTTTTTACTTAGTTTGTAAAGCACAAGAATGATTGAAAAACGTACTTGCAGTGCCACCTGTACAACTTTTCTTGCAAAATGTCTTTCTGTGTGTCATTCAGCTACATTTTAGTCTGTGGAAATTGACGTAACTCTGAAAACTACCAAGTTTAAGAAACTTCTATTTAGTTTTTTTTTAGTTTACTTAATGTAAACTGATAAAATATGAGTGACGTTGAATTTTGTATTTCGCATACAGTTTTTGACGGATTTAACATCTAAGAACCTGAGTCACTCTCACTTTTAAGTTGTTCACGCCTTGAAAGGGAAAGAAACGTTTCTTAAAGAAAATGTTGGAAGCAGTATTAACAAAGGAATACTTGCATATATAAACGTCTACTGTCATTAATTACCACCCTGAGTAGATCTTGTGGCTGTGTTCTGCTTTAATGTGCTCCATGTTCATAGTTTTACATACTTGCTATTGTGCTAGTAGTGCCTTTCACTGTTACTTAATAGTCTCTGTTCATTGAATTCTGTTCTGCTTGGTGAAAAGGCCAAGAGCCCCACCATCTCTGCTCTGAAAAGTCGGTACTGATGGGTGGAGTTTTTCTTAGTCAATGTCAATTTGCAGTTCTTCCATAGTGATACTGCATTTTCTGGCAAAATGAAGGTAGCCTTATGGGACTGCTTTGGCAGTGTCTTCTGGAAAGCTGTTCCATTTATGGTATGTGATTACATTTTTACAAATTGAATGGAATAAATATTTATCTCTCCAATGAAAGTTTTACAGACATACATTAGATGTCAAATAAATGGAACACTTTGAGTCTAAAGCGTGTAAATACTGATGGATTTTCTTTCAAAGAGGATTTGTGTATTCTACCCCACCAGATGTGGTCCAAAAACATTCCTTTTAAGTGCTAAGGTGCGTATATCTTCAGTAAGCATATGCAGTTGGTTTGAATGCCATCGTGGAGCAGAAGATCAGATGCTCACACTTTGTTTTTACTGTAGAATTTCCCTATCATAATTTCCCTAACAGAACAAAAAGAATACAAACAATTTTTTGTTTAAACAGTGCTTCAGATTAGTACAGGAGCAACTTAGGTTTTCTCTTGTATTTGTGAGTGATGATCTCAAATACATGGTACTACAGTGTTTTTTAACAGAGAAGCTAGTAGTTTTGATGATAATTATTTATTGTATTAGTGCTGCCTGAATGCTCCATTCTTGGTTGCTAGCTGTCAAGTCCTAGGACTCTGGCTTGGGCTCCTCTGCGTGCTTTTAAATGCTGCTGCAACTTTCAGCTATCTTTGAGTTGTTGTTGTGCTGACGATTCACTAGATCAAAACTTTACTGTGCTGTGCATCTAAAATTGCAGAGATTAGGGAGAGAGCTGCTCATACGTGAAAAAAAGAAGTCCTCCAAAGGAGCAGTAAAAACTTTTTTTCACCTATTTCTCTTGTCTTTCTTGCACTCTCCATTGTTAAACCTTCTATCTGTTTGAGGGGGATAAGGCAGAAGTTGTTATAAATTGTTAATACCTCTAAAATATTTTCTCTTGCTTTAAGTAGAAACTCTACTTTGATTTTTGTACCTTATAGTTGAGCATAGATTTTAAGTCTGTAAGCTTTAATTCAGTTCTATTTGCTTTTCATCTGTACCTTTAATTTTTCAATCCCCTTCCATCTGCAGTTCAAGACTTTCTGTTTTGCAACTCTATTTTTAGTAATGGAAAAAGAGCTTGATTTTAGTAAAATTTTAGTAAATTCAAGACCTGCCTGGATGCCTACCTGTGCGACCTGGTGTAGGGAACCTGCTTTGGCAGGGGGGTTGGACTCGATGATCTCTGGAGGTCCCTTCCAACCCCTACAATTCTGTGATTCTGTGAAATGCAAAGTGTCATTAGGCAGGAATAACTGGTAGATAAAAATATGGAGAAGGCTAAGAAGCCTCAGAATGGGGCAAGGTGTGGGAAAGAAGGGAGAGCACTAAATTGTGGTGTGCCTTAGGAGACCAAGGAGGTGTAGATATGAAATGAAGGAGCTCTGATTCAGAAGATCAATGACGTTTCACAAGATCATCAGCCAAACTAACTGCTCACCACTGCAATGTGACGGTGGCTGAAGTATCACATACTGTCTATGCAGTCCTTTTTTTCCTTTCCGCTAACTCAAGAACTCATTTAGAGCATCTAGGATTCAAAAATTATCTACGAGGGGAATGGATGATTTTCTGCCTGTTTACTGAACTAAGCTGAGTTATTGAAGTTCATGGGAAATGCCAGCACTACTTCAAAGAGAAAAGGGGAAGGGATGGTGAGGTTTTCCTTCAGCTGATGCTTGAAACCTCTTCTGTAAATAATGTCAAGTGCATAGAGGAGGAATGAATCAATAGGATGGACTGAAACCTGGATGGAGGGAAAAGGCTTTGCTGGTTATTTTTGTAAAGCAGCACAAGCACAGCAGTAAGGACTTGAGAGCATTCAAGTAACAGCCTGCTGTTTCTAAGTGTAATAAATGTTGCAAGTGGATGTCATCTACTTAAATGCAGTTAAGTCATTTATAATTGGATGCCATATTCAGTTTTAAAACAACATTGTTTGGCTTTGTACTGTACTGTAATAGCCTCTAATTTATGCTTTTATCTCTTTTATCTCCAGGAGATGCTCTAGTTGCTGTAAATGATGTTGATGTGAATTCTGAAAACATAGAAAGAGTTTTGTCTTGCATTCCAGGTCCTATGCAGGTACAGTTGAACATTTATTCCTAATGTTCTTTGTAAAAAGCCAACAAACAAAAACAAAACAAAACAAAAAACCAAACAAATACAATGTATAGTCCTTTTTTTACTTCAGAAAAGTAATCTAGGTGATCTTTCTCTCAGATGAGGAAGTTCTAGTTTTTTACTTAATTCAGTGAGACGTGCAGTCTGACAGTAGACTGTATGAAGCAAGCTACTGATGAATAGCTTGCAAATAACTGTCATCTGGAGTGGCAGTGAATGGATATTAAACAAATAAAATGGATAAATAATGCATTTTCTTACGGAATGCAACTACAGTTGTCTTCTAATTGAGCAATAATTTTGGAACTATAATAAGGAATTAAATAATAAAGAATTACAGCAGTGAGTGCAAATTACCTACAATGTTAGTACCGTAAAATTGTTTTCCACATCCTGGTGGACAAGAAGACAAGGTAAAAGTTGTAACTTGGTACAAGACGGAGGAGGTTAAAATGATCATGTATCTTATGCTATCTATGCCTGTAGTCCCTGGTAGTTTTATTCCAGGTCGAATATGAGAGGTGAAAATAAATAAAAAAAAAAAGTAGAAGTTTTTGGTTTTGTCAAACATGCTTCTGTTCACAACTTGGTTCAAGTGCCTGTAGAACTGCATCTGCACTTGCAGTAAGACTGAGTACTGCAATGTCAGTTTAGGAAGCTTTCCAAGATACTCAACAGTATGAAGCTTGCCTAAGCTACCAGAGTTGTGGTCAGGTATTGGCAGAGTTCCATTGCAGAAAAACCTTGTCTTGCCTGTCTTAGACCAAATAAGGAGTTGATGTAGCTATTATTAAATATAGAATGATTAGAAAAGCAGAGATGATATCCTTTCCTTAATTGTAGCTTTGTTAGATTAGAGTGTACTTACACATTTGTTGCTTAAATGCAGTGCAACCCTTTGCATAGTAGTGATTTTTAATGCAACGTTAACATTTATGTTGTCAGTAAATTTGTCCAGTAGACAGTGATTACTTCAACCATAGAAGTATTTGTCATGTTGGCTTTCCAAAACCTTCTATTAAAGTGCAATTATTCCTTTTTTACTGTGTAATTTTAGTCAAGCCAAAAGAGTGATTGCTGAAATAGACAAGCGGAGAACTTAAATACGTAGTTCTATTTTTTTTTTTTTTTTTTGCAGCGTAGAACTCTGTGCTCATGCTGCTGAAGAAGCAGAGAGTTGTTGTTTCTAGGATGTAGTGTATAAAGATAGCTGTTACACAAGCAAAACTGTTAATAACTTCACATTCATCACACATTGCACAAAATGATTTCTCATTCGTTGGACATTGTGTACATTTTAAAAAGATGCAATTTAAAGCAGTCTTAACATCATTATGAATTAATTAAATAAAAAGCTGAGTCACTGCTCTTCTGGGTTCACTGTAAAAATTACTGCAAGTAATATAAAAAATGACTTACCTAACTGCTTTCAGATGCAACAGTTGGCTTAACATCTCTCATTATTGTGTTACCTTTCCCAAATTTTGTTTATATTATCTGAGATTTGTCAAACTCGCTTTTGGGCATGTAGGGGCAAGAACAAGGCACTTACAAAGAAAGAGCAATCTGTAAGAGCAGATTGCTGTTTCCTATTTCCCGTGCTCCCACATCAGAGCTGTTTCTGTTTGGGTTCTTGTGTGTCTCTTAGTCAGATAAAGTCTCAGTTCCAGTTAACTCATTTCAAGATTCTTCAGCACTCATTGAATGTGCCTGGCCAAAGCGTGCCCCTCCATCAATGATTGAGACAAGATAATAGAGCTATGTTCTGTGATCTGTACAATTTTGCATTTCTGAAATCAAAATAGCTGCTACTTAATTTGATGTTGATCACTGCTTATGTGTTCTCTTTCTTCTTATGTGTTCTTTATTCATGAGCGTTCACAGAACTTGACATTCTCATTTTTTAAATGTATTCAAAAAAGAAAATTGGAATCTGTTTTGAGGCAGACTTGAATAAGCACAGTGATTTGTTTTAATATAGCTCAGTTCATGGTACTTCTGTGCATCTGATGAAATGACTAAATACACATAGGTGACAGTTTACCTGGGTCACTGAGCACAACAACAAAACAAAACAACCCCCCCTTGTATCAGTCTGTGATCTCTTCTAAGCAGGTAATTTGTAAATATCCAAAAGGTAATGTACCTTCATTTTTTGTGAGCTTTAGAGACAAACATCCTACAGAAGCTGGTAAACTTTAGAGAAGCTAAATATTGCTCACAATAATGTGGTTATTCTTGTGATTTAAAGATCCAAAAAGGCAATTCTTTAACTTCGCTATTATTGCTCTTTAGTATGCAAGAATTAAAATGATATTGTGTGCTGTTTGTGACAGGTAGCAGTGATGCTTGAGATGCTTGTCTCTGGAGCCACTTATTCTTCGAGGATAAGCTTGGAAGCAGCAGATCCTCTGAGATGTTTAGCAGCACAAGACTGAGGAGAGACTGAATAGGAAGGAGATATGCATAGAAGAATATACTTTTCTTTAACCATACCTTAGAAGTTGCAGTACTTTCTAAACTTTCCAAAAATATTCAGCCTGAGGCAGATAGTCAGAATCAAAAATCTCAGCCTGAATTTTTAAATTATGGTTTGGCAAATCATAAGCACATGGAAAACACAGTCTTAAACAGGAAATGGCAGGCGATCTTGAAAGGCAGGCAATGCTACCAGTTCTGCCTGTAATAAAATCCATATTCTTGAGTGTATGGCTTTCGTGCAGATGAACATAGAGCATGCCTTTCTGGGATAGACCATAAGTGTAACAGGAATATTTTTCAATGTATTGACACTGAAAAATGTTTAGATAAAAAATATTAACAAAAAAGTCAAGTATAGAAGGATTCTGGCATGATATTTTTCTGGGTTCCCACAGTCCTAGTAACAGCTTAGGGACTTGCTGGATCACATACTAGTTTCTAGCTTATTTTAATCTACTTCTTAAAATTCCTTTGACTTCCACAGCATCCTATAGCAGTGATTTTACTTAACTGATTTTTATATTCTGTTCCTTTCTGCTGGCTTTCAAGCTGCTTCCTAGTAAGTGCTTTTAATGCCTACAGGTTCCGGTGTCGGGAATAACAGCTGTCTGTATCTTCTTATTCTTCTTATCATTGTGTGATTTTTGGAGAGCTCTGTCATGTTTAACTTCTGTCTCTTTTTTCCTAAGCTGAAAAATCCTTATCTATGTACCTCATTATTGTCATCTTCACCAGCATCTTCTTGCAGTTAGACAATTTTTTTTTGAGAACTCTTGTAAGCATTGAGAATATATACATGTTGTATATTTATGGAGTGGAATATCATTATTTTCTGTGTTTTTTCCAATTCTCCATTTTGAAATAACATTTTTGTTTTCCCCGTTTTCTGCTGTATATTGACTAGATTTTCTTAAGAGAACTGGAGTCAGACAGTGAAAGATTTTATACTCAGTATTCACGGGAGAGTTCTTCATTTGTCACCTATTCAATCAGATCTTGGTGCACTGTTCAGGACAGAGCTTTCTTGTAGAAATGTAGTCCCTTGGTCACATTCTGTTACAGCATTTTCTAGCCTACATGATCTTTTTCACAGCAATTTGTAAAAGGCTAATTGTATAGTAGAACTTGGATGAGAGTTGCTGTATAGAATCTAGTAAACTTGGAAGGGAACAGGAAGCCAAATTATGGTGAGAGACCTTTCTCATAATGTAGTGACTGCTCGTCTGACTGGCGTGGCATTGCGTGCAGCCATGTGGGAGCCAGCATGGAGGCTGCAGGAGGAAGGAGAGTTACAGTTTTGTTTGGCCCAATTCATTTGAGCGCTTGCTTGAAGAGCCAGATGGTTATGTCTCTAAGACAAGACAGACAGAGATTTTTTTTAGTTCGAGAGGCTAAAAGATAGACTGCAGCAAGAATTACATCTGTGCATCATTAGTGTAGGAACTGTAGCCTAAGAGTTGTGAGTAAGTTTCCACAGACAAGATGTAGTAGAAGTTAAGAGAAAGAACTCTTGAGTCTTGAGGAAATCTGCAAGAAGTTAAGCAGGGTATGAAGAAAATCCTCTGAAAAACATGCAGATGGATTGACGTAGAAAGAGAACTGAGTCACAGAATGCTGCAGAACGAAACACTGCAACTGTGAACGATCGAGTTACTAGGTCATAAAATGCTGCTGCTGCTTAGCTGGATGCCAGTACTCCTTGAGTCCTTTTAATGCATAGTGCATTGAATTGAAACTGAAATGATGAGGAAAGAGCGCGGGATGAGTTGTCGTCAGGAAAAAAAAAAAAAAGGGGTGGCAAATAACAGGAGAGCATGATGGAGTGCAGTGCCATTCCAAAGAATGGGAAGAGAAAGGAGGGGAATAAAAAGCTGACAGCAGCCAAAATAGGCGAGGAAAAGATTAATGAGCAGTGTTGGGAGGGAATAGAGTGGGATGGGGAGAAGGCAGCACGTGACACAAGTGGTGTAGCTAGAAGAGATGATGATGGCATGTCTCTTGGATCTATTTGGACAGGCAGTGAGTATTTTAAAGCATCGCAGTTTCTTGCTGGCACTCCTCTCAAGGCTTGTGCATGCACATACAGACAATTATGAAAATATAAAAGTATCTATATTTAAATGTATAAGCTGCCTCTACTGAGGCTTTTTGGATGTATTGCAACTGGAAGAAAAAAAAAAAAAACAAAAACTTCAATTTGCACTAATCGTTGCACTAAGTCGTCACTAATAGAAGTGGGATTTGCTGTGCTACACTGTGTTTCAGATCTGCCAAGTCAACAAACATTTTAAGGTTATTTTAATGCAGACAAACAATCTCGTATGAAATGAGGAACTGAGACTGTGCCTACTTAGCTTTGCTGTCCAGCGAAAATTTATTTTCCTGTTCAATTGTACCTGCCAGCGTGCTCAAAACAGCAATGAAACATCCATGAAGGAGCCTTGAGGATACATACGTACGGAAGTGCTAATATTTAGACTCAAATGTAGTGTATGTTTAAACATGGTGGTAATACGTTTTGTGTTCAAACAAACTCAGAACAGTAAGTACGTTCTTTCCATTCTCAAAACCATAAAAATTGAGAATGAAAACACACCAAACCACATGCTTACTTACATGGCTCACAGAGCATATAATAGCTTTGTTGTTAATAATAAATGGTTACGGAACACTGAGCATATAACTGTTTTTCCTTAAACAGCAGCAGTTCTTGAATGCTTTCATCTTCTACAAATGCTTACAAAAATTTAGCATTGTGCCACGCATTGTGCCACGTGAAAGTTTGCCCTTTCATAAGCTATGAAAATGTCTCTTAAATGTCTCAAACTACATCCCTCTTACCTGACGTTAGAATGTAATTGTAAATGCATCATCGTTTTCACAATAATTAATTGTTTTAATAGGTAAAACTCACATTTGAGACATCGGCATTTGAACCTGAAGGAGCCTCTCAGCAGAAGTATAAGCAGGAACAGTCAAGTATGAACAACCTGCTCCGGCTTTTGTGGGGGGGAGACAGCATGGACCTTCAGCAGGCTGTACAGAGCGTTCCTCATATTGTTATGTTCCTCTCACTGAAACTGGACTCTGAAACATCTACGGATGAGGTATGTGGCTAACTAAGAAAAGTGAAGAGGAAGGGTAAAAATTGACGGCAACGCATGCTATGCCTTTTGATACTGAAAGAAGTAAAATCTTGCTGGTTTATTTCAGTAATGAGTAGTCTGCCAAATGTCTGTTTTGACAGAAATAAAGCCTGAAATTTCAGGGGGGGGGGGGGGCGAAATGCTAGCATCACTGCAGGCAAACTCTAATTGGGCTTAAAATTACTTCAACACCACTGATTGTCTTGATAGAGAGAACAGTCCAGGTGTTAACAGAGAAAGTGGAGGCAAATTCAGAATTACATTATTTTCTCAAATGCTCACTGTGACATTTTCAATACACGACTCAAACAGGATGTATGAAATCTGTCTAATCAAAAAAGCCTTTTCCTCAGCAGGAGCTATTGGCAGTCCCCATACATAATCTTTCTAAACAGTCCCCTCCTGTTTAAAAATGCTAATATGCCTTCCCTCAGAAGAGTCTTGCATGTCTGCTGACTGTTGATTCTTGCTTGGGCAATGTTTTTTCAGCTATCAAAGTACTCTTTCTTTGTCCCATAAAATTTCACATCTCTTTCCTTTTGTGTTCCTCAGAAAAATTTTGCCAGTCTATGTATAACCTGTTGTAAGTTTGTGTAGATGTTCCTGATGTAGCCATAGCTACAAATGTTCTGCTCCACATGCTCAGCAGATACAGAACAGAGTGGAGGGCTGAGCTTGGCCCCTTGCCTGATCGGAAAATGTCTGCCCTGAAGAGGGCACTTGGGGCACCAGTCATTTGGAAAAGGACCCTTGTCCCGTATGTAATTCTCCTCACATTTAGCACAGGGCCCTGTGACCTTAATTATCTGTTCTATGGATGAAGCACAGTTTTTTGTAGTCTCCAAGGTCTCATACAGCAGGACAGTGACAGTGTGTGGAACAGAAAATAAGACAGTTTTGTTTCCCTCCTGGGATGAATGCTAAGATCCAGGCAGTGCTCCATCCCTTCTCTGGAATGTCTTTATCTTTTTAATACTTTTTCAATTAATCTGACTCTGTATTACTCTGATAATCTACAACAGAGAAAAAAGTGTTGCAATTATACCTAATGGAATTTTGTTTTCTAGAGACATGACTAGGGAGGAGAACCATAGAAAACTGCATATCATGATACCATTAAAAATACAGTATGCAGAGTGAACTGCATGAAAGCTAGACAATGACAGATTTGTGGCTACTTGTGCAACTTTAATTGAGCCATTTAGTACGTATGCAGCATGACGTTGTCCTTTCTTTTGAAAGATGCTAGGCTTGCATAAAGCCCAAGATGGGCAGGTGAGTGGTATAATTAAAACTTACAAGGCAACCGTAAATTCAGTACTTTGTAAATCTACGGAACTTGGCTTTGCAATATAAATCACTTTTTTTTCACTCTAATACTTTTAAGGTACCACATGCTTCATTATGTGTGGCAACTACATGCTAGCACTGTAAGCTTTGGTTTGCAGTTCTTTCTGATCTCATTTAAGAGACTACAAGTTTTCATAGTAGGTACTTTCATTGGAAATTAGTTTATGTCAATTTCACTTACAAATTTTCAGTAGCCTTCCATCTTCTTATCTCCACCATGAGACTGCTTCCATTAAAACGTGCAGTACCATAGGATTTATATTCTCTGTTATTTACCTATAATAAAAATGGAAAAAACTATTTTAACAATTAATTAAGATGCTTTATAAAAATTGACTTAGATGTTACAAATACCTCTTCTACCTTAAGCTCTTAGTTTGTCCTGTGTTACATGTACAGGACATTCATGGGGCAATTGCTATAGACTTAGACCAGTGTTTTCTTGGTTACTTACATAAATTCTATGAAATATTAAAAGAAGAAGCAAAGAAACAAAGTAATTCAAGGTCTCTGACTCTGGTGGGTAAATAGATATGCAAATGCCTAACGGCAGTTCCTGCACTTCAGAGTAAATGAACAGTGTTTTCTTGCCCCGTTATTTCTCTACTTTCTCCCAAGAAATGGGATTAAGCCTGAATGTTGAGTGGAGGTAAAAGAAGGATTGTAATGCGCTTGTCCTCCTTTCACACCATGGAAGAATTGTTTCCTGGTAAGTCTTGGCAGTTATGCAGCCCTAAATAGTCTCTGATGTTGAAATATGCTTTGCTGGTATAACCAAGCCCTTTTTGTAGCACATTGAAAAAAGAATGCTAACGTTTTCAGGGAATTTCTTTCATTTTCATTTGGTAAACAGTAAGTTACATTAGTGCTGTAGAGGTACTATTCCAAATTTAGTTTACATTGGTTCAAATTAGCACTGAATTATTATACACTCATGCCATCTTACACAATGGAAAAATATGATGACCCTTCACTAAGCTTCTCTACCCTTATCTTAAATGAGCATGGTATGCAGATCACATCCTTATAAACAATGGAAACTTCAGCTAGTTACTAATTCTTCCACTTGTGAGCCTTTGGCACCCAAAAATAGATTTAATGATCTCTAAGACTTGAAAGCTTTATCTAACAGTCCTACAGGAAAGCAGCCCTAGACAGTATTTGTGAGTGTGTGTGTGTCGTGAGTCCCAGATGATGATGGCCTGATCTTGCCTTTTACGGTTTTAACTCAAAGTATTCTGATCATAGCATACAGTATTTATACCAACATATGTTATTTGCATCACCAAACATTATATTATCTTTATGCATTTGAATGATTATTTTTTTTGTGATACCGTAGTTTAAAATGAAGTTCGTATTCCTTCATCACGATAGTTTTACTGTTACAAACTGTTATGTAAACATGAAAAGTAGGTATTAAGGGAAGGTGTTAAGATATCTTAGTTCACACAGATGCTTGTGTTTCCTGGGGCGTTTCACTCAGTGTTTATAAGTTCTAAATTAATCTTAAGGAGCGCACAGTGTTCCTTTCATCTACTATTTCTTTTTCTTCTTTTTTCTTTTTTTTTTTTGATGTAAAGAGTAACTTAAAGCATCTATTGTCAGTGCACTGTGAAGGCTGTAGATTTCTTGCATTGTTCTGAATCAATTCCATTTCATTTGTTGTCGAGCTTGCACTGAATGGAGAGGAAAAAAGCCTATTAAGATTTGGTTTGAGACATAAATAAAATAGTAGTTTTAAAAGGAGAAACTGTTAAGTTAAAGGCTAAACTTTAGTCTAGATGCTCTGCCTGTTTCGGGTGTTCAGTTTGGTGTAGGGTTTACAGTTTTCTTTTAAATGAGCTGCTTCTAATTTAGTAATTCCATTGTCTTTGCCCTATGAACTTTGGGATAAAATGGTACTTTTCATTTTGCTCTGAGAACAGCTGATCCTGTATGGTGATATGTGCTGAACCTTGCTGCTTCATTAATATATATATATATATGATTCAGCTACGACCTTTTGTTACAGTTGTCTTTTCTTTTCCTGGGAAAGTGTTCAGATAATTCTCAAATGAATTTTGCGTAAAAGACCCCACTCATAGTGAGGAGAGAAAAAGAGAATGTTTTCTTTTTAGCCCCTTTGTAGTGCTGTAATTAGAAAGTGGTGGCTTTTTTTTTTTTTTCCTGCTGAGGGATTGATTTAAGAAAAAAATCCATGTTACTAATGACTGTTTGAAAGTAAAGCTAATTAAATTGGTTAAGAATGAAGAGTTTGCCAGGACTGTCTACAACGAAGCATTAATTTAACCGTGACGAAGGAAAATTTTCTAACGGGTATTGGCACCAAACAATAAAATAACAAAGTTAATCACATCAGGGTTTCTTTTGTTTGTGTAGAAAAATAATTTAGTGTTCTCATTGTGTTGGATGGGCTGAACGTTACGCATCATTATTTGCCAGAAAGCAAAACTGTGGAGAATCACACGTTTGCTTATTAATGTTCTATTGTTCTGGTGCCTGAAGTAATTAATATACAACTTTGGAGCATGCTTACGTAATACATATATTTTTAAGAACCAGTAAGAAAAATAACATGAACTGACATGAACATTCATCCTCACTGATCATCAGTTTCAACCCGACCTTTCTAAGAGAGTGCCAATAAATACAGCCAGAGCTTTGGTGATTAAATCGTTAATGGTGTGTACGTGATTTAAATATATACCTCAGTTTTATGTTTTGCACATGTAGAGGGAATAGTTAGGGATACAGGGAGAGATTTGAGTCATCATGTTCTTGTTGGTTTTAAAGAGCTGTCTGTTTGATGGGCAATATGGCTCTTAATTCACAGCTTAAATACTGAAAGAAACAAACAAATGTTAGCAGTCTTTTGGAATCAGATTTGTTAACAGTGTACATAATGCTGTAAAATGCAGTGGACAAATTGTCGTTTCTTGTTTCTCCATATGATACTGATTTACTTATCCATAAAACGGAAGTTAAATTGTCAAAAACATTCACTTGTGTTTTAGAGCTATCCAGCGTGTCTGTGCAGATCACTACTTGTTTTGATACTGTGCAAAAGTATATGATAAAAGCTTTCATGTTTAAAAATAAAAATTGATGCCATTAAAAATATGCCAGCTTGTTTTCTGGTTTTCTTTTTGTTTCTTTGTTTTTACTTCTCTTATCTAACAGTTAACTTTGTTCACAGCAAGAAATTCTTTATCAGTACCCCATATCAGAAGCATCCCAAAAACTCAAAAATGTGAGGGGAATATTTCTCACCCTGTGTGATATAATGGAAAGTGTTACTGGTGCCCAGATTCTCAGGTAAAAATAGTTGAGATTTTATGTGTTATTTGTTTTATTATTCTATATGTATGTGTACAGAAAAATGCCCGTGCGTGACACGTTCCGGTCTAGACAAAACAAGAATATGTCTCAAGTTGCACTGCTCAGTTTCAATGTACATTGATTTGGGGTAATGTTTTTGTCACAGATATCAGTGATTAGGATTTTTAGTTCAGTGTAACTGATTTTCTTTATTTTATCAGATCCCTTCTTAGAGCTCCTAAAACATCTTTAGATAAACTTCAATTGTTTGGCACTGTACATTGGCACACTGGAAATTCAACAACAGCTTCAATCAGATTAATAAACCAACACGTAGTAAATATCTAATTCCATAAAATTCATGAGCGTCTGCACCTTTAGAATTCACTTCAGTACACATTTAATTTGCAATACTATAAATATTTTTGTATCCACAGACCAGAACTCTGGTTAGAAGGCTGATGTAGATGGCTTTGAGCTTTGTGGAGGTGGGTAGGGATGGTGGAGATAGGTCAAGAGATGATTATATATTTGAAGGCAGACAATTTTATGATGGAATAATTAGGAGTGCGGTAGCAGTTATCTTTTGGTTTCACATTTCATTCACTGAGAGTTGGTATGTCAGCTCACATCTCCTGGGTGCCTGGTCACAATTCTCTTCTGCACAACACTGCCTTCCACATCACACACAAGGTGTGAATAGTTTTGGTGGTTTCTTTGTTTTGTTTTGTTGTATTTAAAGAGGCAACTGTTAGTGGGATTTCAAGCCCAAGAATTTAGTTTCAAGAAGGATGAAGGCAGACACGCTGTACAAATAGTGGAAAATATTGCCAAGAATAGAGAATTTCTTGAAAGGCAGAAAGCCTCTTTCACATGTTTAGGTTGAGTTTTCTACTTACGTATTTCTCCTGAAAAGGAATTTTTAAATTGTTTTTAAATGCTTTTGTTTACCAGAAAATGAATACTTGCTAATTTTAATATTGTTTATATTTGGTTATTTTCATTTATTCTTTCTTAGACTTGCTAGTGTCTTGCTATTTTGACTGAGAAGCTTTAGCAATGTGTTTCTGCTGTGCTTACAAACTTGTAGTAAGTGAAAGCTCATAAGTGTGTTACTGATTTAGTGACCACTGCAAATTGAGAATGACTCTTTTAGCAGCAGCTACCGAACACAGGCTTTAGATCTTTTGTGTATGCTAATATTCTGAAGTAATGCTGCATTAATTAGCACAGGACGCATTTACCACTTTTCAATACTTCTGTGTTATTATGGAAATTCTCTCCAATAGAGGCATTTTTTACGTGTCCAGATTTTGTTTTTTAGATGTGTCTGAAATCAATCTATGTGTTGATGATCTATATGCATGTTATCATCAGTAAGACAATACAGAAATGCATGTTAGAATCACCTTTCCTGGTAAGGTTTTCAATTCGCCACTTGTAGACGAGTTCTAAAAATATAAAAGGACCTCTGCTAGTCTCTGAAGACTGTTTCATATTTTCAAAAAATATAATAGCTCTTCTATGAAGCTCTGTCAGAAGAGAAAGTTATGATAACTACTCAACTTTTATGCATCATTTGAGATGCATATGTTTGTTGTTAATTGCATTATCAATTATATTACTTGTTTTGCTTGTAAAGGTGGCTTGAAGGATAAAAATTTTCTGGAGACCTATGGAAATAGTTAGGAATTTCATAACTAATGAAATGACGGTGCTATGGTTTATTCAGTTCCATCAACTTCTGCAGTATGACTGAATCAGTGGAACAACTTAATCATGGAGTCATTTTCTAAAGCTGAAATTAAAGTTACGTATCCTCTGCTTTGCATTAGTGTTACGTTATTTAGAACTTGTTAGATCACACTATGAAAAGTCAGGAGACGAAATCAGTGCTTTTTAATAACTTTTCTAGATGGCATGTAAAACAGTTAGCTCTAAGATGTTGTATGCAGTAAGTCTGTTGTTTTAAACGCCATCATAACAGCTACAAACTAGTACCAATTCACTGCCTGTTCACTCACCAGCATCGTAGGTGTCAGAGAGAAATTATTATAACTTAATTTATAAATGAGGAACTGAGTTATAGAATCTGTGTTCGTAGTCACACAAGTCGTCTGTAGCAGGGCTAAAAAATGAATTCTAGCTGTAGTCACAGCTGAGTACATAAACAATCTTTTTTCCTGAGTTTTAGAACTGATATAAATTAAGTGTTGGAGATGTTTACAGACCTTACTTTTAGCAGCAACCAATAAATTAAATTTTATAATCTACTGCATAATATTTTATTTATTGCTGACTAGAACCTAACCTTCTGGGGTTGATGAGCTTTGTAGGGTAATTTCCTTTATAGGGAGATAGCATGGGAGTTCGTACTTGTCACTCAGATAATAGATCCAAATAGCTCTTGGTCTTGCTATCAAAACCTGTTTGTGGGGTTTCTTGAAATGCTTTTGTGAGTAAGCATTAGGATCTCGGTGTGACCTGAAATGGCATTTACTTTCTAAATCAACTGTATTAAAAGGTAGGTGTTGTAGGAAGACCTTAAGGAAGCATCTGAATCAATTCTCTGAGGAAAAGTGTGCTGCTTCCGTAATGGTTATTCCTCCTTCATGCTTGTACTTGAAAATGTTATTACTACTGATGTGACCTCTTAGTGGAGTATAAATCAGAGGGTCTTTTGAGTTTTCTAATAATTAAGGTAATTATGTATTTCAATTGCATGCATGTCATTTTATATGAGCGTAAGACTTTATATATACAATACATATGTTCCAACTTGGAAGATAATTTTATTTTATTTTTACAACTTCGTAGTGCTAACAGAAGTACTTCTGGCTTTTCTAGTTCCTCCCTTTTCGTATGTGAAAAACTAGTTCAAGTTGTTTACTGGAAAGAATGCGACAAGTTGCTTGTGATTGGCCTTCCTGAAGAAAAGTGAGTTTCAAATACAGTATTTTCTTTCTAACTTTGTTTTACATTTTTCTGAAATACCAGCCTCCATTTGTACTGTTCTGCTATCAAAGAACAAGGAAGGAAGGGCTTACAATCTTCTCTTCTTAGTTTAGTTAGATTTGATAGCTGGGATCCCACTGTTTGGATTGACTTTGCTCACATCTTTTAAATACCCCTCGTTACAATTTCTTCTTCTTAACAGATCTCCAGAAACACGTATAAGCTGTAACAGTCACTTTCAGTGTTTTGTGAAGTCATGCCTTGCTCAGAGACCACTGAGTAGCAGTAGTAATATTACATATTTAGGTTTTCTAGAAGTCAAGAACTTCTGAATGTTTTCTTCCAGCTTTACTACTATGTCTGTGTGATCATGGGCAAGTTACTCAAAGGAAACAAAAGTATGTTCTCATACAGTCCTATGAAATAACTTCTGTTTGCAAATATATCACTGGTTATGGAGACTCTTGAGAAGATACCTATGTACATTCACAATAGTTAAGGATGTTATAAACATAAGCAAACGTTTTATTGTTATTTATTTTTAGTGTGTCACTTACTCAGCTGAGGAATATGATTGAAGATGTTGTCAGGACCTTAAAATTTATGTACAGCTCTTTAGACAGGTGAGTTATTTCAGAAGTATTTTCTTTTCAGTCACAGTAGCTTTCAATTGATGCTTATGGAAAAAGAGCATTAATTTCTAATATTTACATGGATTTTTTTTGCCTGTTCTTTTACCTTTGCGCAAAACCAGGATTCTGTTCTTCTTACTTTTTGTTTCATTCTTAATACCAGTAAGACTCTTTTGAAATAGTCTTTGTTATTTCAGAAAATGTTGTTCTTGATTAGGTTAAATCATTCACATAACCAAAGTCACTCTGGATGTCAACAGCACTCTGCAAGTCTGTTAAACCACTGTCTGCAAAATGTATATATGAATCACAGTGTTATATTTGTAATAAAATAAACACTCTAGACTTCTCAACTTTATTTGGCAGAGTAAATGCCTTTCTCTACATTTGGAAATTACCCAGAAAAAATGCAGTCTGACTGTAATCTAAATAAAATTGCCAAGGTGGACTATTCATATGCTTGCATTCACTTCAGGACTTAAGTGTGTATGCCATGGAGAAAATCCTATTCTATTCCCATTTCTATTACTTTTGTGCTGTTCAGCACAGAAAAATGTTTTAGGCAGAACAGCCTCATGTAATGTCAAGTCGTAGCTTTTTCTCATAGCATTTTTAACAACAAGGAGCAACTTAAATTTGTCATACTTGAAGCTATTTAAATGCATCTCAGAAAAAACTTAAGCTTTGAATACGGAAGATAAAGTACTTGATTTTTCTATAAGCATAGGAGACCATTTGGAATAATGGAGTTTATTTACACCTTCTGGAAAAAATAGTCATACAGCACAGAGATCTGTAACACCTAAAAATAGTTAAATAAATTACTGAAATAAGGGAAAAGAATGATCTGTTGTTTTTTTTTTTTTTTTAATCCAAAGCTGATCATTGCCTCATCTTAAGTTGCTTTCAGCACGGCTGTTTCTTCTTTGTATGTACTGTCTGAGTATTAGCATAGCGTTTGCTTAAAAGGAATGTTAAGAAATCCAAATGTAGTTAGCGTGCTGTAAAGAGGCTTCGACAGCACAGAGGGTTATATAAACAAGCTACAAGTTTTTTGATGCTATTTTAACTTGCAGTTCATGTTTGTTCAGTGCTTTTTGCCAGGTGGAACATGTTTCTCGTCTGGATCATTTTTTCAACCTGTTCTTCCAACGAGCACTTCAGCCTGCAAGACTTAACTCAAATGCCAGCCCCAGTGTTCAACACTACACTACCTGCAGTGCATTATTCTTAGACAGTCTCCCAGGCTTGCGCTGGCTGACTTTGCCTCAGGAAATCAAGGTGATCTTGTTTTCAGATCTCTTTAGAACTTGTCTAAGTCAAGCCAGAAAACTAACACAGGTCTTGCATATATCTTTTGCTGACATTGTGTAATATAAATGTGGGCTGCCTATTTTCCTACAGGACCCTTCTCTTAAGTTTAAAGCTATGCAGTCATTTACACTGGAAACAGAATGCTACTACATATGTAGTTCAGTGACTTCAGAGTTACCTAGGAAGAGAGCACAGTGATAAAGCAATTAAGATTACTTTAAAAACATAGATATCTGAATGTAGATACGTCACAGGGAAAGCACGTCATGGTATGTAGCTTTATGTTTGATTCTCATCATTTATGTACTTATAGAAATACATTAAAAAAGTACTAGCAGTTAAAATATCTACTATAGATAAAATAATACTCCAGAAGCTCATGCGTAACTTGTGATTTAGGATGCAATCTTATATTATCTTCTATCAATGCACTGAGTTACACAAAGGGAGCAGTATGCAATCACCAAAGAATGTAAGGGAAAACTTGTGAGAAATGACATTTAGGACAAATGCTGGTAATTGCTGCTTACGTGCAGAAAGTTACTCTGAAATGTTTTCTTTTTGGTTTTTTTCTGATTTTTTTTTTTCTCTGTTATGTATGCAGATCATCTTTAACTCAGTCTTCTGTTCTTTCTATTTTCTGTTAATTCTGATCTTAATGCTTTAATAACGTAACTGTGCATGTATTTGTTTAGAAATACTTCTGGTATCTCCCTCAAAGGGCAATTTGCAATTTTTTTTAACTGTTTCTGTGCTACGATTTGCTGTGATTTGGTTTAGTATCACTATCTAAGGGTATCTAACAGAATGGCCAGGGTTGGAAGAGACATCAAGGATCATGAATCTCCAACCCCCTGCCACATGCAGGGCCACCAACTTTCCCATTTAATACCAGACCAGGCTGCCCAGGGCCCCATCCAACATGGCCTTGAACACTTTCAGGGATGGGGCATCCACAACCTCTCTGGGCAGCCTGTTCCAGCACCTCACCACTCCCTCTGTAAAGAACTTCCCCCTGACATCCAACCTAAATCTTCCCTTCCTCAACTTAAAACCATTTCCCCTTGTCCTGTAGTTATCAACCCTTTCAAAGAGTTGATTTCCCCTCCTGTCTGTAGGGACCTAGGTAAGCTGGATTGCTGGGCTGAGGTGAATGGGATGAGGTCCAACAAGGCCGAGTGCTGGGGTCCTGCACTTTGGCCAAAATAACCCCATGCAACACTGCAGGCTTGGGGCAGAGTTTCTTGAGTGCTGCAGGACAATTGCTTTCATCTCATTATCCCAGTTATATCTGCTATCCAAGTGAAAATTCGTGAAGTGTGCCCGTAGTCCTTGTAACACACACCGATTCACTCTGACAAAATCCATGCCCTGTAATTGAGGGGATTAAAATGTTTATGGAATCATAGTTGTAGTGTGGTTAGTCAGCTGATGTATGTTAGAAATGTTACTCAGTGCACCTTATCACACATTATTTTTCCTATCAAGAAAATGATATTTTTATTTTCTTGTACTATTTGGTGGTGAACCTTTCTCTTCCTTCGTGCTTTTTTCTTCCTTTCTCACATTTCTGCTGAGAGAGACTGCAGTGCTTCAGTCTCTATTTTAGCTTGCAGGTTGTTTACCTTCTTATAAAATGACAGGGTTTTAGGGGATTTACAAAACAACTTATTTTAATATGTATGATAAGAACATGGATTTCCAGAATTATCTTAGGTCATCCACATCTGCAAGATTTTTTTTTCTAGACAAAGAGCAAATTTCTGGTAGATGAATGTAGCAAAGATGGTTTTTATTTGTGTATTCTCTGGAGAATACAAATGTTAGTTCTTTTGTTGGGCGGAAAGCCATTTGCATTTTAAGTGAGGAAAAAGCTGAGATGTTGGGTACTTGCTGACTGCCAACAGTGTAGCTGACATTTCTGTTTGTGAAACTGGCTGTATTTCAATTAGAGTCAGCTTGTTTAAACAGCCCAGGGAACTTGTCATGGTGGGTTGTAGGTTCTTTTTATTAGTAGCGCATTTATGTCATGAACTTCAGCAGCTACTGACATGTTCTTTAAAGCAATGAATTTTTAGTAAAACTTGCATTAACCAACAGCTCCTGCATTAAGAGAAATGCACCTACATAAAGCGGTTTCGGTAGGACAAAGATCATACGTTAGAAGGTTTGGGAAATTTCCTTAGAGGTACAACCAATCCATTGTAGAGAAAGATTTTTCTAAAAACTCAGTTGGATATAGTAGCTTGGCAGATCTCAGTGTTGTCCCTTGCCTTCAAGGAGTAGTCTCTAGATTTCATGTTTTAAAACATAGTGAAACTAAATGTGACATCTTTATATACAGCACAGTGGGTTCAGGAGGCATACAAGAAGAGACGTTTTAGTTTTAAAGAAGAGGGAAATGCATGGCAATTGCATTTTTTTTTTTCATCTGATGAGTTGAGATGTTCTTGACATTTAATATTGCTGTTAAAAAGTATGTGCTTTTTTGTCCATTCAACTTTGTACTTGTGAATTCTAATCCCCTGAGATTAGCCAGAAAAAGTGAATTATGCTTTTACTGTAAATTAGTGTGTTAAAAACCTCTACTGAAATGTACTGCTTAATATTTCAGATGGAAATTGACACAGCACTGAGTGATCTTGAAGCAGCTGATTTTGCTGAACTGGTAAATATTTACTTTTGTTGTTTGCATTGCACAGTACTTCTTTGCCTTCCTCATATTTGGTCGCTTAAGAAAAGCAGCAGTTAGTCAGCCATGCTTTGTAAGCAAGTGGGATTCAAAGCAAAAGTACACCGTGTTATTCCTGTTTTAAGATAGATTGATGTTCACCATTTTCTTTGTCCTGAATTTTTCTCAGTGGTTAATGTTATAACCATAACCATATTATAACCCTCTAGGATTAGTCACTGAGTAAACATGATTCACTGTAATTTAAGTCCATGGATTGTCTACAAGGACACTTCTAATCTCAACAAATTTGTTGGTTGTTGGTTTTTTTGTTTTTTTTTGTATAAGTAACTGTCTCCTTCCCAAGTAATTGCGAATACTACAAAAAGTTTTAGTGGAGCACTGAGAACTTAACTTACCAGTTTGAATGAAGCAATTACAAGTTATACTTAATCTCAAAGGAGAAAATAGTAATTTACTTGACCATATGCTTTCTACTTGGTGAACAGGAAGGTGAGATGTAAATGCACTGAAATCTTGTTCAGGTAATTGATGATGATAAAAATACAAGTTAGGTAGACATACAGTCAGCCTTTCAAAACAAATTTTAAAAAATGGTACCAACCAGACTGGATAAATATTTTCAGAAGAGGTTGGTTCCAAGTTGTATTTTATTGCAAATAAATGGATTGCACCCAAGAATTCAAAATACTCTATCTCCACATAAAGTTAGTCTTACTACTCTGAAAGCAATGAGTAGCTAAACTGAAAGACTACTGAGTAGGCATATTTGGGGTAAAATGCAAAAAACTAGTTAAAATGCTTTGACTTGGAAGTTTTGCTCAATGAGGGCCTCTGGTGTCAGTACTTATGCTTCAGTTTGCTTTAAGAATTAGCATCTCTTGAAAAGTTTGTTTATGGACAGGTAAGCGCTGGATGAGAAATCTGAGTGTCTTATTTTGAGCTGAAAACTATAGTGACGTGAAAATTTATAATGTAGGCTAAAACTTTGTATTTAATTTAACCGCTTGAAATATTAATGCCATTTTGATGCCCTGTTGATATAAGTGGTCAGAAATGAAAATATGAAATAATACTGATTGACTGGAATTAGTTTTCTTGTATTCACTCTGTAAAATAAAAAGCCTGAACTAAAAATTCATGCTTTTGTTCACAGTCTGAAGATTACTACAACATCAGAAGATTATATATGATTATGGGCTCTTGTCTCTTCTACAAGGTAGTATTACCGATTAAGGCGTACAGGTTAGGAAAACAAATCATTTTAAAAATCCTGTCATGCAGAATTCTTCAGATCTCACAAATACGATAAATGTATGTTTGCTTTACATATGAAATTCTAGTGACACATCAAAAACACTGTAACAAAAACATCAACAAACAGATCATAAAGTGATACATGTTATACGATCAATAAAACCAACATATTTGTTTGAAGCTGTCTTACGGAAATTCTGTTGCATGTGATGTAAGAATCAAGGAACAACAGTAATACGAGATGGAAGACTCACTTGAATTGATTGGGAATATTCTAACAGGATTTTTCTTTGCGTTGCAGTTGTTTAATAAAGATGACAGCCAGTCATCCATCTCTCTTTGATCTGTCTTCAAATCAAAGATTTGACAAATTGGATTGCCAGCTTTTTCAGTTTGGCCTTAATTGTAAATTTATCTATCTTATTAAATGTAGGTAGTGTATTGGACAGTGTAAAGACAGTGGAAGATAACACCTTTTGCTTTAAGGAAACTGTCATGCAATTGATCTTTATACCAGTAGTATTATGAGAGTAAATTGTCAGCACAGTGTTTGGGTTTTGTTTGTTTGTTTTTTGTCAACAAGTTTCTTACTACTTACTTACTTGACAAGAAACTTACACGCTTCCTTTTCTGTGTTCAATTAAGGGTTACTTGATTGGCAATCACTTGCCAAAGGAAGATCTCATTGATATAGGTTTATATAGCCAGCACTATTGTCTGTTACCCTTGGCAGCAGAACAGAAGATTGGTCAGTTAGTGATATGGCGGGAAGTATTTCCACAGCATCATATCCAGCCATGTGAAGTGTCAAATTTTACAGGATACACTGAACCCGAAGCAAGATACTTCTTACTGATAGTTGGCTTGGTAAGTACCAAATTATGTGTACCCCTTTTTGTATGCTCTGTTTTATTATTGTGTTTTGCCTGTTGTTCAGCAAGATCATAAATGTCCACGTGTTAACTTAGTAATTTTAGAAAATATAAGTATATTTTGTTTCGTGGGATGTTATTTCTTAGGTAGTAGAATTATTTGTATCTTGTTTTTTTATACTTTTCCACTTCAGTTGGAAATGTTTTACTTTAATGATCCTGTATTTTCAGGTAACTCACTGAAGAAATGTTTTTTAAAAGTGCTGTTTTTTGTCTAATATCTGATGAGTATGTAGGCCATAGCTTACATTTGAGTGATAACTTAGATAATGTGAAAGGAAAAAGGGAAAACTGCTCTGGGGAGGAGGAAGGGCCCCTAAATATAGTACTTTTTTTTGTCCAAGCATCTGGTGAGATATAGTACAGTAAATAGGGTATTTTAAATCAAAGGCTAATGTTGCTACCTCCATGTTTACAGAGACACTTTATGCTGTGTGTTCTGCTAGAGGCAGGAGGCTGTGCCTCAAAAGCCATTGGGAATCCAGGACCAGACTGTATATATGTAGACCAAGTCAAAGCCACTATACTTCAGCTGGAAGGTATAGATGCCAGCATTGAGGAGAGGCTAGATTCTCCTTCTGTTCCACCTTTATCTTGTGCTGACTGGTTCCTGCCTACAACACGTGACAAGCTGGAGAGCTTAACCACCTCACCTATCCTAAGTAAGATACAAAATGCTTCTAGAACAGAAACTACTCCAGCAAGCAAAAGGACTCTGTTTGGTGACTCTTCCTTAACAACACGTAAGCCAAGTCCTACAAGAAATAGTGGAGGACCCGACCATGGTAATGAAGCTCCTGCAGAAGATGAAAGCAATAATCAACACTCTCCAGCAGATCAGGTCTGAGAACAAAACAGGTTTTGGTGGGCTTGGGGAAGAGGCAGTTCTTACCAAAATTCACTAACTTAAGCAAAAGTCCCAAAGCAGAGCTGAATAAAATGTCAAGAGCCCCTGAATTCAGTAGAAGATACTTGAGTTGCTTTGGGAAACTTTGAGACAGGCGCCCAGCTGTCACATTTTTATTTGGATTACCATTGCTTCTAAATATTTGGTTTTCAGCTGACTTAAACTGGGGACAGCTGTGTTGGAATTAGATTAAGTAATTGGAGAATAGCCCCAAAATAATGATGGTGAAACACAAGCAATAAGGACAACTTGCTGTATGGTTGTACAACTGCTTCTTCTAATCAATTTTGGCCAGAAATAGCCTAAAATACATTTCACATTAATTGATGTGACTGGGGCTTCTCAAAGCAGTACGTTATTTTTATTTTAAATAGGTAATTTCTTTCTTTAATTCTATTCTTTCCTTAGCAATATTTTCTGTTAGTTCACCCATCTACTTGTTTTTCAGGTTGCTAGAAAAAAACATACCCTACCAAATCCATTTCATTTAGGAAACCTTAAGAAGAATTTGTCAGAGATGGACATGGAACTTTTTAATACTATCAAGTAAGAAATTGTTTTTGTTTTTAAATAGTGTTTCACTTTAAAAGTCATACATGCATGTTTTTTAAGCTTTAGGGTTTGTTTGTTTGTTTGTTTGTTTCAAAACTTGTGAGAATTTTTGAGAGCACAAGTTCAATAGCTAACTGCACTTATGTGTTAAATTTTAATATAAGCAGTCCAAATGAGCAGATTTCCTTGCTATAGAAACAAGCACCTTTCTAATGTCTTCATTTTAGTACTCCATTGCAGCTACCAGAAAAATGATTATAAGAATATTGTACGTATCATTTAACTGAAATTTCATTCAGATTTATATGAATATTGAAATGATTATTCTATTTTTGAAGGTTGACATCTGGACCTGAGAATACCCTCTTTCACTATCTATCTTTGGAAACAATGCATGGAATCTTTATCACTCCAACTCACAAGGAAGTCGCACGGCTCGGGGGCTCCATCCACCCTCAGTTAATTGAGAATTTCCATCGTTGCTGTCTTTCAATTCGTTCAGTTTTTCAGCAGTCCATGGTGAAAGAAGTATGTAAGCTTTATCTTCAGTCTTTATCTCTATGTTCTCAATTTATTATTTCAATATTGTTTTCATTTCTTTGTTTAGAAAGTTCACTAGCAGGCAATTATTTGGTTGTTTAAAAGCACTTGATTCTCTTACTGCTTTAACAGAGTAAATTGAACATCCAACTATGTATACATGTAACTGTGGTTCAACCTGCCATGCCCTCCGAATAAATACTGCATGTATTCAGTATGGTACTTTTCTGTTTGATTTTAGGGCTCTGTAACTTAGCACAAAGTTCTCACACATTGGGTTGAAATGTAGGAAGTAGCAAGAGAGGGTTGTTGGATTCTTTTAGTCATATTAATCCTATAAGGAAATTTCAGACTGTAGGAGAAAGTAAATGGATGCCATCTCTTTGCACAGAAAACGTTTGATACGAGCAGTGCCAATGCTCCCCTTGCTGCCCTGATGGTGTGTCTTAACAATGACCTCCAGAGAGCCTCTTCTGAAGCTGAGGGAATGTTTGTTCTCAGTGCCTTTGTTCTCTGTACTACTTGAGATAGCATATACATTTGCCACCCACTGATGTCTCTGGTAGCTTTCTCACATTGATATCTGTCTGGTTATAATGATCAATTCTTTTTAATTATGCTGGCAAATAATCTCTTGGATTTTAGATTATGTGGGGCAGCACAACAGGTGAGCTTTTTTCTCTTCACAAGAAGTTCAAGCCTTGCTCTAGCCTTGGGCTTAATCCTGGTCTCATCTGCCAGAGCTTCACTTGAGTATTTGGTATTTAGGAAAATTAAATTAAAAAAAAAAAGTAGGAGAAAAGAGGATAGATCTGATGTCAGCAACTCTTCTGCCTTGAGCTTGATTATAGTTTTCTGTTTACTTCAAACGATCCATCCAAAGTAAATTGTAGTAACTGTGCAGAAATCTAAACAATAGCTATGAGAATCAATTTGAGGTGCTCAGATCAGATATTTTGTGTTCAATACCTGCTTTGTTCAGAGTCTGGTTTGTTAATTCTGCAGTTGATTTTTACTGACACAAATGAATTAGGGTAGTATTTCATCCCTGCTAATTTTGTGACCTGTTTAGTTTCTTTGGAAAAAAGGAAATAATTTAATATTATCACAAGTGGAATACTGTATACCACTTACATTTTTTTAGATCCCTAAATGACAGTCCAAGTGCATTAAATGAGAAACGTGGAAGAACAGTACATATTGAATCAATGCAGTTTGCAAGTATCAGCATTATTTTTCTCTGTCTTTTCTTGAAGTTACTGAAGAAGTTATTTCTGTTTAGAGTGATGTACCTCAAATCTTTTTTCTTTTTTTTTTTTTTTTTTTTTTTTTTTTTTTAAGTGTTAGGAAAAACAGCTTAATTTGGTGCATTATGCTGTCAGCACCATAAGATGCTGAGGTTAGGCTGAATAAGACATTGGCAGTGAGTCTTTTGTTCTGTGCACTTTGACAGATCTGGAAACCCAAAAGCAAGCAGAGAGAGTACAGAAATATTTCTTCTGATCAAATTGCCTTTGGTTAAAGTCGTTAAATAGGCAGCTTGTAGTTCAAACCAGTTTGTTTACCTGAGTAAACAAACTATTCGATTACTAAGCATAGTTCATAACAAGTGAAGAATGCATACTTCAAAGTAACAACTTCTGTTTTAGCAAAAGCTGTGTCAGCACATGGTTTTCTGGGTTTTTCAGGTGTGTGTCTTTACCATAAGCAGCAGCTAGGTTCATTGTGCCCTGAAAGTCAGAAATAATTGAACATGTGCTGCTGAACAAAGTTTCTTTTAGAGGAAAATCTGAGAAACCTATGTAAGCCAGCTTGTTAACTAAAAGTATTTTGACTCCAGAACTTCAAGGTAGTTTTTGCTAGTTGGCTTCAACAGTTAATGCTGTAATTGCCAGGTTGTATTAGGGCACAAGGAAAATGTAAAAGAATGAATAGAATTTCTTTTGAGTTCAGAGGGCTTGACAAAAAGAAAAAAAAATAGGCAAAAAATGTACTATTATATTGTTAGTTCAAAGGAAGAGATGGAAGCTTTAGCTGTTTTAACATAGTTTGTTGTTAATGAAGCTGCTTTAACTCAGATGTCCTAGTAAAAAGAATGCTGTTTGGCTAGACCAAAAAATCAAAGTGAGGAGAGCACTTCCAAATTGTGTAAAAATGTTAAAAATCCTGTTGATACTGAAGTAACAAAACTGAAGAAAAGAATCATGTAAGCAAAATAGTTTTATCTTCTATCTGGCTGTTTGACAGCAATGTCATTCAGCAGCTTCCTGAAGAAAGCATGTTAAAATTACATGTATTAATGTTTGCATTAAAAAATTATCTACACTTCACCAACTGTTTTACAGAAAAAGAAGAAAGCAGGCAGTAAAGTCTCAGAATTTAGTAGTACAGATGAAGACTTAGGTCCTGTAAGAGAACATGGAGTTTTGTTTGAGTGCTCTCCTGAGAACTGGAATGATCAGAAGAAACCACCACCAACACTGAGTTACTGGGTTGTGGGGTAAGTTTAAAGGCAGACAAATCTGTTTCTCTCCAAACCTTCCATTTTGAGTACGCTTCTATCATATTAAAGAATATTTTTTTTCAATCGGGAAGATCAGGTCCACTTACTGGTCTATCTGAGATGTTCTGGGGAAGGAGCATTCTTTCCTGGATTTGCTTTCTAAGTTCTGCTTTCAGCACAAATAATCTATTTACTGTGATGTCACATAATTTTAATTGAAACTTATTTGCATAACAGAACAGTCTGCTGCCCTAGGTATTAAATATTAAAAATAAGAGCTTTTATTCAAAGTAATCATGTTTCATGAGAAAATAGTATGCATCATCACTTGACAATTTAGAACACTGCAAATAATTTAATTCTTTAAGACCAGGCCAGCAAGCCACATTCTGCAGCCATCACTTCTCACCAACCATATTCTGTGATGCTTAATATTTATCTGCAGTTAGCAGTCAGTCACGTTAGGATTAGTCAGTCAGCAGGATGACCAAGGACAGTCTGTTAATATTTACAGAGCTATATGCTATAATGCTACATACAGTTATGCAAAGGTTTATTAACAGCTTTCCTATTTTAGTTCTTCCCCTCAAAGAGTCTGTTGGAGTGACACACAGGTACATTGCAATGTACCTGCCAGGTTGTATTAAGTTTAGAAATGAGTAAATATGTGAATATTGCAGTTTGCTCCCATGTAACCCAGTGCAAAAAAAAAAAAAAAAAAAAAAGTAACATCAAATACATACTAAAAACATAAACTTGTTAAACAGGCTTGAGAAAACTGAAGAAAGAATAACCTACGTTAGGAATGTAACATATGAAAACAGTAAAATCATGCAGAAGGCCACAGAGATTTGCTAGTTGTATTATGCAGCAATTGCAAAAAGCTAACACCTGTTTCTTATTTTTTGTGGGTTTTTTGTGTGTTCTTTTTCTTCAGGAGACTCTTCTTGCATCCAAAACCACAGGAGTTTTATGTTTGTTTCCATGACTCAGTTGCAGAAGTTGCTGTTGAGCTGGCCTTCAAGCTGTCCTTTGGCTTAGCTACATAGATGAACTTCCTGAATATTCAGCCATCCTTGTTCTCCTCTCTCAAAGCATTTAAGGGCAGTAAGAAATGAACTCAGTTGAGATGCCTGCTGATGGCATACCTTTGAAATGCTTTTAAAACGGTAAATCTACCTTGTGATTTGATACAGGTGAAACTTCAGAGCTGATTCTAATGACCTGATCAGCTGAATACTTAAAAAATTCCAGAGCACCGAAATTTTTGTATTTATCTATTGTCAAATTATTTATCCTAATTGTAACTTTATTATGTGAAAACCTCACATAATTAGTACATTCACTGCTGTTCACTGTCCAGTATTCAATGTAAAATGATACTCTCAAATGTAAAATGATGTCCTCAAAGTGCTCTGTGAATATTTGGCAGTCACCGATAGGGAAAAGTAAATTTCCCAATTAATGAAAATTCTGTGCCTCTAAGCACATGAAAAATACAGAAATATTTTCAGTAGCATCATGTTAATCACAACAAAAAGAAACCTTTTAGAAGAATAATGATGTTTAGCCACCCAAAACTGATGGTGTAACATTTTTGCTAGTGCACACTGTTAGACACTTGAGACCTACAGCGACTGATGTTTTACCTGATTTCAGGACTTTTATCATAAGTAATGCTTACATTTGTTAAACAAAAACAGTTATGAAGGCACATAAGAGGTGTGCTGAGGGTGATATTTTTGTTTAAGACCAATGCATGGATAGCTACTTTTGTATTATATTCATAATTTCATAATAAAAAATATATATTTTTAAAAGACCAGTACAGTGCTATTCTAATTTCTTTTAAAGTTACATATTTTCTTTTTTGTTCATTTAAACAGTACTTGTTTAGCTAGATTTTCTATAATCTAATGCTGGATACTGAAACAAATGTTAGGTTACACCTGTATGAGGTAAGAGAAGGAACGCTTGCAAATTCAGAAGGCTTCTACAGAATTCAGCTTTCCTACTAATTGCTGAAAGGTTTGTGGTAGACAAACTAGCTGCTCTGGTTGTATTTGTTTATTTCTTTAGATAGTTTCACTGGAGGTCTAGTTTAAAATGTTTGATTTTCTTGGGTCCTTTTTTTTTAGCCCCCATCAAGCACATTTAGATTTGGTTGCCTGCATGGTGTCTACTCACATACTTTGTCAATAGTGCAATTGTTTTTTCTTTTGCTGCCTCTACTTGCTAACAATGGGATGAAAAGAAAAATTATAAATGTATTTAGGAAATTAAATTCAGTTTTTTAGGTTCTCATGATCAAATCCTTAGCTCGTTTCAACTAGTAAATTGCAGTCAGAGTAATTCTAAACTGAGCCTTGAAATGCCTTTGACTGCTCATGCTTACTGGCTGATTCACAACTTCGCTTGAATTGTTCAGGAGTTGCTCTCATTTCATAGAAGTCTTAAGCTTGAAGTTTAAGTGTATGATGGAAGGTTTTGTTAATCAGCCCTTTCCAAAATTGATGGTTCCTTGATGACAACGTAACAGTTTGAGATGAGCAGAGCAAAGTTGCATCAGTAGTGCTTTTACATTTTCATTCTGCATCTGTAAATTATCTGAGAGAATTCTGTGTTTGAATATGGATAATATATGAACACCTTTAAAGATGATCTAAAATAAGTTTGGAATGTTGTGTTTCTTTCTAGATGAGAAAAGGAACCCGGGGATGGAGGGGGGGAAGCAATCATTGCCAATAGTGGACATGACAGCTAGGCCTAATTCATTTTGTTAATTTGTTTTAGATGGTTTTCTTTGTTTTGTTGTTGTTTTTTTTTTTTTTTTTTTTTTTTCTGGGCACTTTGCTGCCAGTGTAATGGGCTGATCTCAGTTGACATAGTTGGGTTTAGTCATTGCAGAAAAAACAGTGAATATGTAGCGTGTGTGGAAGTAAGAAGGACTGAAGGGGCTCCTTCAGTAGCAATCAGCTACAAGAGCTGCTCTGGAAGTAACGTCTCCTATTTTATTATGTTGGCCCATGACATCAGAGGTGGATGTTGATGGTATGGCGGTGGAGGTTGAACCTTCCCACCAATGTTCTTTTACATGCTGTTTGCCACGCAACAGATGGCAGCAGAGGAGCCCTGCCCCTAGGAGTCATTGAGAGCAGAGGAATGGTGTGCCCTGAGGTAACGCCCTGCTGCAAGGGACTGGGGAGCAGCTGTTGGCCTGGAGCAGTGCCAAGCACCATGGTGGATGTGCAGAGCTGGTGGCTGCCCATCATGCAGGTGAAGCTGCTGCTGCAGCTGTAGGCCTCATCCAAGCAGTTCCAGGCAGACCAGCAGTGCAGGGTTATGGTCAACTGCTTTGTGCGCATCCAGACAGAACAAGGTACAGACCCAGCCATTCTGTTTTACCACTATGCTTAGGAAAACAAACAATTTCAGAAACATCTCTGTAGCCACAGTGATGTCAAGCCAATTGCAGGCTGCTGGCGTTCAGAGGAGTGCTGCTAGGTGGGGGGAGGAGGTAGGGAGAAGGTGCACTTCCCTTCAGGATCCTTGTTGATCTGAAAAACAAACCTGCAGCCACAAAGTCAGCATGCTTTTATGTGATGAAGCAGCAAAATTATGCTTAGTGATGGTTGTGGACATTTTCCTTCTGATGGTTTCTTCAGAAGTAGCAGTTATTCAGTACACCCACGTTGATATGGACATAAGTGTACTCAGGAAAAGAAAGGAATACCTAGGCTTGATTTTTCTTTGCCCTTAAGGTATCTTTGCCTTCACCCACAAGAAGATATTTAAGTGAAGTGCATGACTGTGTGTTACAAAGCTCAGTCTCACTGCTGCTCACCACTGCCCACCAGCACAGGTGGGAGCCAGGCATGGAGCAGGAGCAGTGATGGCAAAAAGCATATGCTTTTCTCATGGTTCACGTAAGATTTCCCTCCTGTGTTAGCTCCTTGGCACCATTTAACTTAGTGCATTTACATTAGCATCCAGAGGAATCCTCTTTTTGATTTAGAAAAAGAATATCACCACAAAAACCCTGCAAAGTTTATGGTGTGTATGAACCAGTTAGTTCTTGTTTTAGTATGGAGTCGGAGCACCCCCTATGGAAGCTAACAGGTATAGCCAGGCTCCTTCTAGCAAAGGACACGGGTTAAAGAGTCGGATGCTCAGTGGTTTCTCTTGACAGTTTTTTCTGTATCCAGACTGCAGTTGATGCAGGTATCTCTACTCTTTGAGAGGTATAGAAGTTGATGAAAATTTATGGAAGTAAGGAAGCTGAAAGTGTTTCCCATTCCTCAGTATTTGCATTTATATTTTCTTGTGCTAACACTGAATGCATGCATTTGTTGGTACACATCAGAATAAATCCAGATTTCTAGCACCAAATGCCTGAGAAATAGAAGACCTGAAAAGTAGTATTTCTAACCTTTGTTATACCTCATATAAGTAGAAACAGTAAAAGAAATGCTGTATAAAAAACTACATGTAATACTAACTGTGGATGTTTATGTTAAGAATCCATTTCTTTTTCTATAGGATTTTTTCAGTTCTCGCATGGCAGTCTGGTAAATGTTATATGCTGTTTTCTAATTATGCTCCAAAATATGCTTTCAAAGACAGGTACAAACAGATTTTCATGTTCAAAGTGGTTAAGTGGATAAAATGATAAATAACTAACTTCTTGGTTCTGCTTCATAAACTCACTAGATCCGGCCAAGAACTGTGCAGTTCTTTCTGTCAGCACGGTTGGTAATTCATGGTAGTGTGTTGATAACATTTCGTAATTGGCATATTTAAAAGTGAGCATGGTTTTCTGTATAGCTTATTGTTGAAGATAATGAAGTCTGACTTTTTCACTTCTGTGATTAACAACTCTGTGAAGTGCATGTAAGTAACTGCTCATAACTGCAGTCAAAACTTTCAAAGTTTTGTTCAGAACACAGTGCTTTTGGTGCTAACTGACGGAACTATTAAGATATATACTGAAACTCTTAGATTCAGGTACCAATGTTTCTGTTCTTTGCTAAAAAAAATCCCAATTGCATTTTAGCAGTTAAGATGGCACTAGCATGGATTCTAATCTCAAAAATGTTTATAGGTAATCCCACAAGTGAAATTAGAGCCGTTTTTATTCTAACATGGGAAGTTCTTGTGTTGTGTCCCTCAAGTGTGTCTGCCTTTAATCTTGATACTTTCCTTTGCATTGCTTGCTTGCTATTGTTACTGCGCAACTGCCTGACAGAGCTCCTACGTAGTAGAATATGCCATACATTATTGGAGTGTGTGCTGTTAATGTAGCTAAGTAATGGCCCTGTAAACTTATTTCTTGCTATACATAAAGCTAGAAACGTTTATGAATAGTTGAAAGATTTTGAGTCTAGTTTTGTACAAATGGAAGCAAAAAAGAAAGAAACAATGTTATGGCTCAAAATGCAAATTGTACTTCTGAGCTATGCTGTCTTACCTTGCACATTTGTTCACTTCAAGAGGAAAGTTCCTTAACGTGGATGGATTCTCACTGGGACGTAGAGGTCAGCACTCAGGGAATTAATTGCAGGGAATCTTGATCCTGAAATATAAAGTGTTGATAATGGGATTTGAAAAATTATATCAAATGTATTCATATCTGAACAGAAAATAAGTTAATATTGTTTCATTTAGAAATCTGCTTTATTTGTGTTTTTCTTAGGTTATCCATTTCACAATTTCTTTGATTGTGTTTTCATAATTTAAACAAAAGCCTGGGTTCTGTGCCACAGGCAATGTTTGTGTCATGAGCTTTCCTGGTGCTGCTTCCCAGGAAGAATGTTGTCAGTCCTTAAGTTTGGATTGATCCCCTGGGATTGCATGCAAATTCCTCAGCTGTCCTTTTTCAATTGCAATTCCTTCATATGTAAAGAGTTTGAAGTTGCTGTTTTCTTTTTCTTGTTTGAGTGGAAAAAGTAAAACATGCATGAGATACATAAGTGTTTATAGTTCTTCAAATCTTTTTTCTGCCTTCTAGAAATATTTCCAGATGGCTTACATGTGTATGTGCTTGTGACTTAAAATTTAGAAACATTCCACAAATAGCATTCAAGATTAATTTCTTCAGAAGGCTATTTAACAAAGTAGCGTTATGCATTATTGAAGCTCAGGGACTTGGGATGCTTTCTTACATTCTTGATGCAGGATAGGAAATCCAAAGTACAGTGGTGTGTGTGATTTTTGCTTGGCTGGATTGTCTTTTGAAGAAGATTACCACAAACTTAAGCTTGTGGGGAAGTAAAGTGCAAAGAACTGAAGAAAGCAGGCTTAGTCAGCTTGCCAGGCACTGTTGGTACTGACACAATACAGGCACAGTTGAGCATCTTCAAATTGCAGCTGTCCCCTCCTGCTTGCTATGTGGACTAGACTAAAAAAAAAAAAAAAAAAAAAAAAAAAAAAATGCTGCTCTTTTTTTTTTTTTTTTTTTTTTTTTTTTTTTTTTAGCATTCTCATGTTTTTACATTATTGTGCTACTCAAAGACTTAACTTTTTTTTTTTTTAATTTATTGGAGAACAGCTGCTTGATGGACTATTGATTACTGATCTGAATGCACATGCTGTAAAAACTGTTTCAGTATTACTAAAGGAAAAGAAAAGCTGTGAAATTTTAATAGCACTGAAACATTTCTAAGCTCTCTTGAGACTGGAGTGACCTCATTTAATTCTTAAGCCTTCTTTTTGCCCCGTAAAGAAGCACCAGAAGAAGGATCACAGCCTTTCTAATCTTAGCTGTTGGAACCAGCTAATAAGGCATTACATCAGATAAATGTTAGGTAAAGATCTCTCTTTTGCTGTAGGTGAAACAAGAAGAAAACATTCCTCAGTGTTCTTTACCAAAGAAAAGCGCTTTGCTAGGCATCTGAGTTTCCTTCTCAGTGTAGTGCAATAATGATTTCCTCTGATTATTTGGATGCAGAATGAGGACAGGGAACCCATAAAGGTCCCATTTTACTGCTTTATGACAACATATCACCAAGATTACACTTAACACTTTCTTTCATGGGGCACTCCCCAGTATCCTTCATGGGACAGGAGGACGTTAGGGCTAGCTAGTTCTTTGTGCTGCAGAGAAGGACTTGGGGGTTCTGATGAAAAGCTGGACATGAGCCAACAGTGTGCACTTGCAGCCCAGAGGACAGACAGTATCCTGTGCTACATCAAAAGTTGGGTGGCCATCAGGGAGAGGGAGGTGACTGTCCCCCTCTACTCTGCCCTCGTGAGGCCCCACCTGGAGTACTGCATCCAGAACTGGGGCCCCCAGCACAGAAGGGATGCACAACTGTTGGAGCAGGTCCAGAGAAGGGTCACAGAGATCATCGGAGGGCTGGAGAAAGGTTGAGGAAACTGGGCTTGTGTAGCTTGGAGAAGAGAAGGTGCTGGGGAGACCGCACTGTGACCTTCTGGTACATGAAATGAGCTTACAAGCAAGAGGGAGACTGAGTTTTTACACAGTCTGATAGTGATAGGATAAGGGGAGGAGATATAGGTTAGATGTCAAGCAGAAAGTTTTTACTCAGGCTGGAGGCACTGGCACAGGTTGCCCAGAGAAGCTGTGACATATCTTGTTTAACACATATCTTGTTTGTGTGATGTCTGTGATCATTTGCATGGTGTGTTTTCAGTTGAAATACTAGACAAGTGATACTCTTAAGTCATTTGGTTGTTTTTATAAACAGGCATGTACCAAGTTAAATACTTAATAAATTAAAGAGCACTGTTTTGATATCATTCAAGAAACTAATCCAAGGAAAAACTTAAACCTTTTTCACAGAATGATCTGTGTTGCTATCTTATTGTACTAGATGTTACACATCTTGAATTAAAACCCTCCAAATGTAACAAAGAAATGAGGAGACCCAAGCATATAAGCATTTAACCAAAACATCATTAATTCTTTTTCAAGAAAAATATAAGTAATCTGCAATTCTTGTCAGAAGGGAGGATTAATCTTACAGTGTGTACAAATCTACCCATTTTCATTTCAGGAGGAGTCTTCTTGTTATTTTTGAGGTAGTCATTTTCAGTAAGAGAAGGAAAAAAGAATTGCTGTGGAGTACTGATAATTTACAGATTTAGGATAGCACAGGGAGGCCTATATGTGATTTGTTGCTGAAAAATAAAGGCTAGCAGGTTCCTGACACCTCCTTGTAGACTCTTTGGCACCACACAAAGCCCTCAGGTCCTGCAGTTACTACTACAACTACTTTTAGGCCCTGCTAAATAGATTTTGTGATGTACAGGCTAAGAACCGGGGTGACGGATATCACCAGCTCCCAGGACCAGAGCATTAATGGAAGACACCTGGAGGGACAGGATCTGGTCGATGGACGGAGCAGAACATAGGGGTGATAGGCCTCATGTTTGTGGCTAATCTGATGTGAATGAATTTTGTTCATACTTGCAGATTGAGCAAATGGTGTAACGCTAATGCATGCAAGCAAAACTTTTATGAACAAGTTCAGCTTACCCGTTTGCAATCTCATCTCTGACTCACACAGTCACACACCTGGCAAAGCCAACATAGCTGCCCACGGCACTTTCTTGTTGCTATCACTGCACTGTCTGCGTTCCCCACTGCAGCACAGTCCGTCCTGCTGCTGCCAGATGTGCAGCTCTCCTGCACAGACATCTGGCTCCACTGCACAGCAGTTTTGCGGCTGGCTTGGCAAGTTGCACTGCCACACAAGAACATGTGCTGTGTGTCGGTTTCTGTCAGCGAGCGTGAGGCGCTGCTGCAGGAGCGGCGTGCTGCGGTGCCTTGAGTCACAGGGCTGGTTTTGACCCAGCAGGAACTGAGCCGGCTTTGGTCACGGAGCAATAACCAAAGTTCTGGCAGGGCTGCCGATCCAGTCGTTGCTTCGGCGCTGATTTGCAGTCTGTCCGGTGGAACAAAAGAGTGCAACAGTGTCACCTGTTGCGCTAAATCCAGGTGCTCTTTTCAGAGGGGAGCAAATACTTAGGGTGACTTTCCAGCATTGTTTTGTAGGGTTTTGATGTTGATGCCTAAAATGGTACCCGTAAAACCAACATACCTGCAGTGGGGGTAAGCAGGCTGCGGGCACCTTTTTTTTTCCGAGAAGGCAAAGCCAACGCCACCTGTGGGAAGCACGGATGAGCGGCACTGACGGAGCAAGGGAGAGCGCGCGCCCCTTTAAGGGGCGGGCCGGGCCCCGCCGCAGTACTGACGCGCGGCGCGGGGCGGCGCTCTGGTGACACCGCCTTCCTTCGTTTCCAGATCTTTCTGGAATGCGCGGCGCCCGCTGCCTGCGCGGCCCGAGCCCTTCCGGAAAGTGCCGAAGCCGGAGCCGGCGCCCGGCGGACTACCCGGCGGCCGCCACAGCGCGCCTGCGCAGAGGCGAGCAGGCGCCGGTTGGTGGCTGGTGCTCCGCAGTGGAGGAGAGGCGGCGGCGGCCGGTCCCAGCAGCGCAGCGGTCGCAGGCCGGCGGGTAGTGCCCAGCGCAGCCATGTCTGTGGTCGGCATCGACCTCGGCTTCTTGAACTGCTACATCGGCGTGGCGCGGAGCGGCGGCATCGAGACCATCGCCAACGAGTACAGCGACCGCTGCACCCCGTGAGTAACGCCGCGCCGTGCCGCCCTCCTTCGGGCCGCAGCCGCCGTTTTCCCCTGGCCCTCCGCTCCCTAAGGCGGCGGCGGCGGCGGCGCCGGCCGGGCCGTCCCGTCCCGTCCCGTCCCGCGGGGCCTCCCCAACGCGGTCCGGCGCCGGCTGCTGCCCTGCCCTGCCCCGCGCGCCGCGGGCTTCCGGGAGCGGCGCGGTGCCGGCAGGAGGGCTGCGGGGCGCCGTGCTAGAGGCGCCGTTCTCCCCATCTCTCGCCGTGACTTCTTCGTGTCCTTGGAAGACCGCGCCGTGCGGCGCAGCACAGCGGGCGCCGCAGGTTTCTGTTTATTTCCGTTGCGATGGCTCTGTGCTCGCGTGCGTGCGTCCCGCCGCTTCTCTCCGGAGCGGCCGCCGGGTCTCGAACGGCCGTGTGACCGAGACGAGCGGGCAGCGCGGAGCTGTGCGTGCCTCCCCGCGGCCGCAACGTGCTGCGCGGGCAGCGGAGACGGGAGGATGCGCAGGCATCCCCCGTCGGTTTCGTTAGCGCTGAGAGGCCGAGAGCCGGCTCTGAAACTTTGTGCCGGGGAAACCCCGGTGCCCGTCCGTCGCCTCGCTCTGTTTGGCGTGCGATATGTGCAAGCTGACCTGCCGTAGGTTTCTGTGTATCGAACGTCTCGTTGCTAATTTATGAGTCGCTGTACTTCGAGGCTCTTGCGAAGTGGCTGTGAAAGTGATCTCGGGCACAGCTAGTGAGATAGCACCGGGTGCACGGTTATGTACAGGCAGTGGTACACGTGTCTGGATTTTCTCTCCTTTTCTCTAAATTGTCACAGGGAAAGTACAGTATAGAAAACGAACTCCCTTTCTAATGCTGTTGTCTGAAAGCAAACTTAACAGTGTTAAAATAGTTATATCACAGAAGCTTGTTGAAGTAATTGGGTCTTATTTCAAGTAGGGCTTGAGCAGATGTAACACTTAAAAGCATCGAAAGTGCTCTGTGTCTCACTGAACAGTGCAGTAACTGAGCTTTATCTCTCTGTTCCTGTGGGAGAGCTTACATCACTGAGAGACCTGCAGTTAACCAGGAGCTGACATGGATAGGATGTGTCCCAAATACTTGGCACTTAATTCCAGATTTACCAAGCAACGGTGTTTGTTGTGTTGGTGTAAGGCTCAGTAAAAATACCTGAACCAGTGCTGGACAAGCTAGGACACTCCTATTCACAGCGTGTCATTGAGCTTCCTAAAGAGAGGGCAGTGCTGGATGTGCTTCATGGGGCTCGTTATGCTCTCTGCACAGGCCTTACGAGCACGGCCAGCACTTGGGCTTTGCAGCCTGTTCAGATACCTGTGCAGTGCTGGTGCGGACAGTGCGTTGTCAGTAGAGCCTACTTTGCATCTACATAAAAGCAGTATATGTTTGTGGAAGATGGTGCATTATCACACTTCAGTGCAGTGCTCATTAAGTCCTGAATACTGTGTCGTGATGGTTAAAACATTCTGGTGATCCTTTACATCAAACCCATCTTCTATAATTTAAGGTGTAGGATTGTTGGCATTTATAAGATGTGCATCTTTGGGATAAGCACTGCAGAAAGAAAGGTTCTGTTGTGAAGCTGTCTATGTCAGGAGATGTAGAATGCTCCCTGGGGCTCCTGACCTTGGTGTCTGGTGTTAACTGAGACCTGGCTTTTTCCGACTGGAGAACTCCAGCAGGTCAGCTGCACACGTTTGCACTGAGCCTTGGCTGCTGAACGCAGGGCAAGTGGCTGTGTCTCACACTGTGGCAATGTGCAGAAAAAAAGCTGATGGTTGATAGCTCGTAATCTTTAATAACTTTTTTTCAGACCACATGCAATTAGTGTAGTCACAAGCTGTAATTAAAACCATTCTTCAGAACATCTTCAAAACAGAGCTTGGAGAAGATTGCAGTCTCTTGGTGAGGAGAGCTGCCGCTGTTAGAGCAGTCCCTGTCCTGCTCAGATCCTTGCTTCAGAGGAAGGCAGGATGCTTTCTGCAGGGCTGTGTTCAGTGTGGTGGTGTATAGAGTAGAAAAGTTGGTTGATGGTGCTATCCAAGTGTATGCAGTGCCCTCCCTCAGCATGGTGAAGGTGGGGAGGAGGCAGGAAGTAGTCTGCTGCACCGACCTTTATGCATTCATTAAACAGTGAAATTTAAACCTTATGGGTCTGCGTTGTGGTTGTATGTTACTGATGAATGGCCTCAGGCAGATCCATTCCCAGATGAGAGTAAATCCTACTTCCAATCTGTACAAGCAGAGCTGGTGATTGGGGGTGGGGAAAAAAAGCAAGGATTGTTGGCAGTACTTGGAAACACACTGGGATGATATACTGAGAGTAGAACGTGCTAGGAGGAGGCCATAATGCAGTATGTGTTGTTGGAGAAAGAAAATTTGGTAGTTACTCCAGTTTTACTTAGCTGCTGGTGGAGTTAGTGGGGCTTTGAGTGGAGTTCTGTTGCCTTGTTATGTGTGTTTCTTGCAGGTTTTCTTCCTCTTGACACTAGAGGGAAGGCTGCTGGGGAAGTGGCCATGCAGTGTCTGTGCTCCTGGTGAAGGGGTTGGGAGAGGAACAGAGCTGCATGGGGCTGCGGGCTGCTGAGGTCCTCCCAGACCTGTGATGACTGGCAGCTATAGGGCGTCTGCCTGCAGTTGGCCGGCACTGGGAGTGCCCGTGCGTTGTGGGGTTGGGCTGCTCAGCTACCTCAGGCTTGGGTGTTATTTTTAATTACTGTCTCACAGTGATTGTTGGAAATTACTCCTGCAGTGTGAATGTAGTACTGTCAGACTCCGGGGTTTTTGTTTCAAGATAACTGCCTGGTGACGTTCAGAGCTTCCTTTTTGGTGTTCCAGACTACTTTGGTTCCAAGCTGTCACCTGGAATTAACTATTAATTCCTTATCTTTATTGTAGAATCTGTAGAACGCTTCTGTTTTTAAAGAATTCCCTAAATGCCTTGAGAACAATTGTGGTTGCCAGAGTTTCTACACTAGTTTGCAGAGAATGAAATAGCAAGAATTCCACAGCAAGTTCTGGTGCTTGATACAGTAATGTTGTTAGTACCACAACCATATTCTTTCACTGTAGTTTTTGGGGCTTTGCTTTGTTTAGAATTATGTGGATATAGTTTATAACACTTCCTTTTAAAACTCAATTTTTTTTTTCTCTTTTTTATTTAGAGCATGTATATCTCTAGGATCCAAGACACGGGCCATTGGGAATGCAGCAAAGAGCCAGGTAAATGGATGGAGGGGGGCAGGGGGGATACAAGAGCATATCACTTACCTGACTTGCATTCTGTTGAGCTTCAGAAAGAGAAGTAGTGAATAAACTTGATATTGCAAAGTAAGTTGTCTGTTACAGGTGTGCTTTTTGCAGTATTACTGCGTCAGTATTCTGTTATTCTAGTATTTTTTTAATTCTATTACAAACTGTTTTGTCATTAAGAATAGAGAATGGGAAAAAATGGACATCTTTCCCAGTAAGATATTTTCTTTCCTGACCATTTGTGACAGTACGAGTACAGTTCCAAATTATATCTCCATGTGGGGGATGGGAGGGATTCTGTGCTTACAGTTTTTGAAAAGTTGAAGCAGCTGTTCAGCAAAAGCTTGATACTGATGCTAGCTAATTCTTTGCAACTTCACTTGTGGCTTTGGAGAACCAGGAATTGTTTTGGAAGGAAAATACTTAGAAAACTTAAAATAGCCACTGTGAATGTAGAAAGCCAAAGCAGATGAGATTTTACCCTTTTTCTGTACACTCAGACATCGTGTTAGCAAGCTGAAAGGAGGAGGCCTCCTTCCCCAAAGTGGAGTGCAGTTAACTGGAAATTGAACAGCAGGTTTGCTGAGCAGCTGTAGAGGTGATGGAGCCTCCTGGTAGTAGCATGAGCATTCAGGACGTGGCAGATGCTGTGATAACTTCAGTTCTAAGAAACTTTACACTATTGATCTGAGCTCAGCCCCTGAGCTTGCTGGTGGGAAGGTGTCCTGCTGGTAATGTTTCCAGCTGTTCAGCTCGTTATTTAGGGTAGTAAACTAGACTGGCTGATGCTGAAATAGGTTACCCTGGAGTATCTTCTTTTGGTAGCTCAATTTAATATTGTATGTGTTAGTGTGGGTTTCTGACAAAATCTTTCCTTAAAATAATCCATGTGAAATACTCAGAACATAATAGATGGAGGGAGGGCTTTATCTTCTTTGCAGTTGGAATCTGAATTAGAGCACGATTTTAAGAGAAAAGGAGCGCAGTGTGTGCACTTGTTGAAGCTTCATATGAAGTGAATGTAGGTAATGGCTTTATTTGTTACTTCAGATTGCTGTTACTTCGATATGTAAATCGTCAAATCTTGTACACGATGTCAGGAAGCTCCTTTAAAATAAAAGGTGCAGCAGTTAACAGTTACTAAAGGGGAAAGTAAACTTGGGTTTGATAGTGGAGACCATAGATCTAAAAAGAGTGCTGCTTTCTTCGCACTCTGTGTTTTCCAGTAAATGTGTGACGCTTGAAGAAGTGTGTTCAGTACGTGCATTGAGCC